TATGGTTCTTGGAAGCAACTTGCCATCCTCGTCTGGTCCACTTAGTGCCAACGTCAGGTAGTGTGTTTCTATCGGATGTTATTGTCACTTTGGTGTACATTATTTTTATAAAATTCTTCATACATGCTTTTAATTTATTTGTTAATCCTATGTATCCCATTATTCATGGTACAGAGATGGTAGATACAGTAGTCCAAGAACATCATCTTTGCCAGTTGATGAGCAGCAAAGAATGCAGCACTACAATCAAACGTTGTCTGGTAGAAACATTCAACAGTCTGGCTTGTCTGTGTCTGGAGCTCTTCCAGGAACTGATCGTGGAGTTCGTATGGTTCCTGGTGGAAATGGTATGGGCATGATGTGCGGGATGAACAGAGGCATGCCAGTGTCAAGGCCAGGATTTCAGGGAATGGCTTCATCATCTATGCTTAACTCTGGGAATATGCTTTCATCCAGTATGGTGGGGATACCAAGCCCTGTAAATGTGCACTCTGGAGCTGGTTCGGGTCAGGGAAACTTGATGTTAAGACCTCGCGATGCTTTGCATATGATGCGGGTGAGTTGTTGACGCACCTACATTGTTTAACACTAAGATCTAACTCTGTGATGGTAGCTTTTAGAGAAAGCATCAAATGGTTCATAGCTTATGATTCCTTTGTCCTCAAGGATTGATTTTTTGCAGGTTGGGGTTAAATGTGCCCAACTTGCAAGTTGCAATAGTTTGTCAAACCGCATTCATTTTTTTTAGTTTGATTATTTTTTTCCAGTTTCTCCTGCCAATCTGGGAGTGCAAAGTGGAAGAAGAAAGGCTAAAGTTGAATGTGCTTAGTTGAATGGTGTCAACCATCTTCATTAGTTTTATCTTATTGTTTTATTTTGTTTTTTCCTCCCACCACTTTGGGGGTGGAAAGAGGGGAAGAGGGAGGTATGTCCTTGGGGTATTTAATGTTGGTTACTTTCGATCTGTTGGTTTCCTCCCTCCTATCAGGCTTTTTTTTTGTATCGAAATGCATCCTGAAGTTTGAATTGTGGTATGTATATATTTAATTCTTTAGGTTTTAGTTTCATCGATCAAAAGTTAAAACCTTAGCCCTCACTTCACCCTCATTAACTTCTATTGGCAAGGCTGGAAATGGAACTTCTGTTCACACTTAAGTTTGATTATCTAGTGTTACACTTGGAACAATCACTTGTCATTTCACTGCTTTTCTAGGTTGCCGTTCTTGGCAGACACATTTTGATGAGAAGATTTGATTATCTCCTTTCCTTTCTCAATAGTCAATGTTTTACGCTTCTAATTATCCAAATCCACCAACGTTTTATGTTTACTTGACTATTGAGTTTTTTTTGTCATAGCCTGGCCATAATCCGGAGCATCAAAGGCAACTTATGGTTCCAGAACTTCAAATGCAGGCCACACAAGGGAATGGCCAAGGAGTTGCTCCATTCAATGGGTTGAGTTCTGGTTTTCCTAATCAGCAAACTCTGCCATCTGCTCAAACATATCCAGGCCATAGCCCACAGCAGCATCAGATATCCCCACAACAGTCCCATGCACTCAGCAACCCTCATCACCCTCATCTTCAAGGCCCAAATCATGCTACGGGGTCGCAGCATCAAGCCTATGCCTTCCGCGTGAAAGAAAGGCAGTTGCAACAACGGTATTTGCAGCAGCAGCAACAACAGCAACAGTTTTCTGCATCTAATTCTTTGGTGCCACAGGTCCAGCCGCAGGCCCAACTTCCCATGTCATCAACTTTGCAAAATAGTTCCCAACTTCAGTCGCAAACTTCACCTCACCCGGTGTCTGTGTCCCCTATGACACCATCTTCCCCAAGGACTCCCATGTCATCCCAGCACCAGCAGAAACATCATCTGCCATCCCATGGCTTTAGCCGGAATCCTGGTGCTGGTGGGATGACCAATCAGATAGGGAAGCAACGACAAAGACAACCACAGCAGCACCATCTTCAGCAATCTGGTAGGCACCACCCTCAACAGCGGCAAATTACGCAGTCTCAGCAGCAGGCTAAACTTTCAAAGGGAATGGGAAGAGCCAATTCAATGGTGCATCAGAACCTCTCCATTGATCCTGCAAACCTCTCTATTGATTCTTCTCAACTTAATGGACTTGTGCCTCCAGGAAGCCAGTCTCTTGAGAACGGAGAACAGTTCATGCAATTGATGCAAGGTCAAGGTGCATATTCTGGGTCTGCCCTTAATCCAGCAACATCGAAACCATTGGTCCCCCAATCACCAAACCATTCTCAGTTGCAGCAAAAGTTACTTTGTAGTGCACCGACCAATTCATCAAAGCACCTCCAGCAAATGCCTTCTCATTCTGATAATATCACTCAGGGCCAGGTTCCACCAGTTCCTTCCAATCATACGATATCTGCTTCACATCAAACTGGCTCTCCATCAGGTATGGCTTCCAACCACCAGCAGCTGCAGCCGCAATCACAGGCACAGCAACAACAAAAGCAAGCTAATCAAACTCAGCCTTATGTTCAGAGAGTGCTGCAGCAGAATCGCCAAGTGAATTTGGAGATTCCAAATAAGTCTCAAAATGATCTAACTCAAGGTGATGAGCAGCCTGTGAATGGTGCTTCGCCGGTAGGTGTGAGCACGGCAATTCCTCAGTCCTGTATTGATTCATCTAGTGTAGTTCCAGTTCCTTCTGCCATTCCTCAGTGGAAATCATCAGAAGCAGTATATGATGCTAACATGCCGAATTCAACTGCTCAAGTGGGTCCAGTTGGGAGCCCCCCGCTAACAAATTCTTCTGGGAATGAACCTGGGCCACCTATCAGTCAAGGGTTAGGCCCAAGAAAGTTATCTGGAAACTTGCTCTCTCATGGACATAATGTTGGAGCACAGTGGCAGCAGCAGCAGCTACTGCAACGGTCTCCTTCGCTGCCATCCCCATCTCAACAACATTACCAGCAACAAGAACAACAGCAGCAGCAGCAGGAACAAGAGTCACCCCAACATCAACTGCCTCTGCAACAGCAGTCTCAGCAGCAAATGCAGCATCTGCAAGCAGGGCAAGGAAGTTTGTATATGATGTCTGGTAATTCAAAACCAGAATGAATGATTCTAAGGAATGAGCAGCTGCAGCAACCGGTCCTGCCAGGGTTGGATCTGCATGCCCTTGGTACAGCGGTGTACAGGTAGTTGCTATTCTTTAATTACATAAGATGGATATAATATGATAAGGCTTTGCATAAACTTAAATGTGTCACCAAAATCATCACAAAATTATTCTTTGGCTTATTGGTTTTCCATTACTTGCAAACCTTTCCGGGGTCAAGTGTAAAATTGCTTTGTTTTTCCCCTTTTGTTGTCTTCTTTTTGTCTTTCTCCGTAGTAGGATCTGTCTTCCACTTGATGATTGCTGATTATTGCTTTAATGGTCAAATGCTAGTTTATATATTATTTTACTGTATGAGATGTCTATTTTTTGTAGTCAACGGAGTCCTGTGTTTCAATCTTAAAAACAAATCTGATTTTGGTTTGGGGTTTAATGCCAGATGAAGCTGATTATTCGACAAGGGCATTGACAGGAAGAGAGTTGGTCATGGTATTTGCAGGTTTTGTGAAAAATGTAGCTGGACTATCGAAGTGATGTTGCAAGGCATTTTGCTTGTCTTTGCAAACCATGTAAATTACCACGGGGCTAGAGTTCTGGGAAGATAGAGATCAATATAGAGGTACGTGTACAGGGCTCGTATCTTTCCATTTCTAGTACCTGTCGGTTTTTTTTTTTTTTTTTTTTTCCAATTTTTTCTTTCTTTTTCTTGGTCTCCCAGCATATTTGTCGAGGGTCCTTATTTCTTTTTTGGCCCAGTAGATTAGTGCATGTATTACTACCCTTTTCAGATCAAAGGGCGTTGCAATCATTTTTATGGGCAAAAAAGCCTTTTGCAAAAATCTTGTGAATATTAGAGATGTCTGGTGTATACATTGGTGAATGGGATTAGAACAATCATCATCTGTCAATGCCATGTCGTAACTTGTAACGATTCGTAGTTTATAATGCAAAGAGTCCTGATAGCTGTTCATCCACATCTGGTTTTTGTTAAAAGCCAACAGGCATCTGTATTGCATAAAATTTTCTGCTTTCAACTTTGTGTTGGGAGCTCCTCAGATTTTTACTTTCCGTCAATGGGCGACCGTTTGATTGATGTTTGATCCGTAAAAGTAAGTTGAATTAAAACGTGGTTGAAGAGTCATTGTACTAGTCATGGTTGTAAATTTAGACCCCCTCTGAGTTGGTATCTCAGTTCCACTACAATGGCTGGAGTTCATATTCAACCCGATCCGATACCCGGGGTCTTTGGAGGATACGTCGAGACGTGCAAGTGCTGCTCCGAAGGGTCATGCGTTCAAAAATGGTGAAGGATTGATAGCAGGAGGAAAATAGTACGATGGCAGTGCCAAGAGTTTCTCAAGAGCAAGTTTACGAACTTCATCAATTAACCAATGTTGAAGATCAGCAAATACAAAGCAAAGTACGCTAACAACAGTAACTGTTTTCAGAGGACCCCACGCAGATCAAAGTAGTACTATGTACCTAGTTTTGTCCTCAAACCCTAAAATGAGAGATTTTCCTTGAAACTTATGTGACAATTATCTAACGCTTTGTCTTCGAGCTCGAATCTCTTAGTAATTCAAGTTAGAGTAATATCGCTGCCCAAATATAACAAAAAAATTTAAAAAAATAGAGAAAAACAAAAGAATGCTGGTAACGCGAAATGATTATGTACTTTTATGATGTCATTAATATCCTAGTGCACTTAAAGCCGCGGGCATTGTATCCAAACCCCAAACCCCAACAGAGAAGAGAAGCTTATTGAGCATAATCCAAAAGTATAAGGCAGATTAAGTTTAAATGAGAATATCAAATTGTTGTGTTCATCCCCCAAAAGGACCCAACATCACAACTAAAAGATTACAAATGCTGAGAGAGAGAGAGAGAGAGGGATTGAATCTTCAAGAAATTAAACGTGCAAGTATATGACACCATGCGTAAATTCTGGGCTTCAACTGTCAACTATACAAATCCATTTCCACAACAAACACAGAAGCCATAACATTATCCCTACTCAAATCGAAAACCAACCTTAGAAACGAATTACATGATCAGCTGGTGCTCAGCTTGTTGGAAGACCCGAAAGCGGTATTGATGGAGTGAACAATCTTCTGCTGTGACTGCAGGATCATGCTCATCCTCCTCTTCTCCATCTCCACTCTATACCTCTCCGTTTCCTTCATCATCTTCATCCTCATGTTCTCCACCCCGATTAACTGCTGGGCGAATGCCCTCATCTCGTCCGCCAATTCCACCACCATTTCCCTACCCCTATGCTGCGGCGGCTCCGCCACGTCGCACTCGCCCACCGCCTCTCTCCCTCTCTTTAACTCCGCTGCCGCAGCGGGTCCCTGCAAAAACGAGGCTTTCCCGGAAAATCTGTTCACAAACGTCGGCCTCCGCAGGATGAAGTCGATGCTCCGGACCTTGTTGGAATTCTCCTCATCGTCGTCTTCATTGCCGCCGCCACCGCCGCCGTGATAATTACGATCGTGATAATCACGCTCTTCTTCTTCTTGCTGATGTGGCATCTCCGCCATGGGCATAACAGAGATGGGCATGGGCCCGCGCTCCATCTGCTCCATGAGCTCGAAGAAGGGCCAGCCGGACTTGGTTCTCTGGCCGAGGCGCTTCTTCACGGCGCGGTGTCGCTGCCGGAGCTTCTCCATCTTGTGGCGGCACTGCGTGGCGGATTTCGACGGCTCGCCGTATTCGTAACCGCACCGGGCCGCCACGGTCACCGCCACCTCCTCCCACTGGCTCGACTTCAGCTGGCCCCTCCTCAGCGCGTACCACTTCTCCTGGTAGGCCCGGATCAGCTGCACCGTCTCCTCTTGGGTCCACGGCAGCGGCTGGGACTTCTTAGCGGTGGCTGTGGGCGAGGCGGAGACTGAGGCCATGGGGGAGGCCGTGGGCGACGGCGGTAGTGGTGTGGACATTGCTCTGGGGGTGGTTAGGGCTAAGAATTTGGAATTTTAGGGTTAGGGTTTGGGAGGGATTGGGGTTTTTTGTTTGAGATTTGTGGAGGTTGGTGGTGGCGGTGACGGTGGTGCTGATGGACAGATGGAATTTGTGTTTCTTAATGTTTTAATAGTGATAGGAGTTACAATGTTCAATGATTGGATAATGGATTGCGTATTATGACTTGTGCAATGCAAACAAAATTTAGGGTTAGTTGTGTTTTAAGAAAAAAATTGTTTCCGTTGGTGAGAATAATCAGCATTGTAAATAAATAGTTAACCGTTTGATAAATAGTGTTATGTAATTCGTTCTTCATTCAATTTTCGTTGAATTATTTAGAACCATAACTACATATAATACAAATACTTTGTGATTAGATTCTAGAGGCACTCACAACACTTTGGTGTTGTGAAGATTTCTCGTTGGAACATTTGTCGTTACTCGGAGATTCAGTTCTCAAGTATGCTGTGAGCTCCCACCTACATAAAATAGGAATCAAGGGAAAGATACAAGTATCAGATGTCTTCGATATTTCAAAATGTTGGAACAAGTGTATAACGTAGGCATCAAGGTACTAGCCCAACAATAATTTTTCTGTGTGTTCGACATGGATACATACGTGAGAGAGCATTTGAACCACGCCGTTGGGCAGCTCCAGGGCAGCGGTCTAGATTCCCTGATCCGTGTAAATGCAGAGTCGACACCTCGGAAGTGCCTTTGGACAGCAGATTGCAAACTGTACAACCGGTAAAGGTCGGAAAATTCTGCTACAGAGGCCACAGGTGGATGAACTCGAAGACCATAGCGAATTATGTTGAGGCCCTCATAGGAGCCTACTATGTTGGCCAAGGATTGTTTGCTGCACTACATGTGATGAATTGGCTTGGTATAGTTCTAAATTCGAACCCTCATTAGCCACTGAAGCCATTACGAGGGCATCCCTCCGATCCTACTGCCCGAAAAAATGATGAAGTCGCTGTCTTGGAGAAGAAGCTTGGCTACCAATCTTCGGTTAAGGGTTTGTCACAGGAGGCCATAACACATGCCTCTGAGCAAAAACTAGGTGCTAGATATTGTTACCAGGTTTGCACTTGATATTTTCTGCAGATTTTAGTCATTTTTTACTTGTTGAATATTTTGACAGAGGCTTGAGTTTCTTGGCGACTCGGTGTTGGATGTGCTGATGGCACAACATCTCTATCATCGCCGCACAACTATTGATCCGGGACAGTTGACAGACTTGCAATCACCTGCTGTTTGTAATGAAAACTTTATCGGAGCTGCTGTGAGAAAGAACCTTCATCGGCATCTTCAACATTGCTCCGGGTTACTTCTGAGTCATATCACAGAGTATGAGAAGTTGTGTACTGCTGAAGCTCTGAACACCACCATCCTACTTGAAGACCCGAAAGTAAACCTCTTAGTTTTTTCGACTTAAACTCTAAACGGTTAGCTGTTTGTATTAATCTGAAGTTACGTTAGTAACTACGAATTGTTTAATGCAGGTTCTTGGGGACATGGTGGAAAGCATAGCAGGGGCAATAAACATGGACAACAATCTCGACCTTAACAAAGTATGGAGGGTGTTTAAATAACTATTATCTCCGATCGTGACCCCTTCCACTCTGCAATTACACCCGCTGCGTGAATCGAGCAAGTTATGCGGTTCTATAGGGTACTTTGTGAAAGAAACTTGTACTAAAGAGGATTCAATGGAGCATGTGGAAATGACTTTGCAGCTGGAAGATGGTCTTTTGGTTGGGAGCAGGTACAATCGGAGCAGCAAAGCTGTTAAACAGAAAGAAGCTCGTCAACTGTCGAAGGAGCTCCAGGGTTGTCATTCCTTGTCTAAAAGGAGAAAACTTGATTCTGACCACATAGATGAGATATATTCCGAAGGCATGGAGATTGAACCCTGCAGCCAACTGACTGATGTTCATTCTTCAGAGCCAATCAGTCGAATCGAATCATCATCTGCAGAGTCGCGAGCAAGTCCTGCCCCGACCAATTTTGGTTCCAACCAAGTCTACAGTCACAACATTGCATCCCCAATTTGCCTGGTTAGTGAACGATTGAATCAACCTATTACGATGCTCCCGATTACCCTTGTTTTCTCCCATTTTCATTTACATGCTATTCATTCTTGTTTGCAGTTATGGCTTCTATCAGCACGAGGAAAGGAGAAGCTCGGATTTCTCTCTTTGAGCTGTGTAAGGTAATGCAGTGGCCGATGCCTACATTCAAAAGAACAGAGCAAAAATCGAGGTGATTCGAATAAACCAAACTGCACTTAAGTGTTCTCTTTTCCTAGGGGCTAACTAGTGTCATCCTAGTGCAGAACTCCGATTGAATTCGGAGAGGGCTCTGAAAAGAGAATGGATTTCAACAGCTACGCATGGGAATTAAGTTTGCAGACACCGAACTTTGGGACTATTGTATGCAGAGGAGATCCTTGAGCTGATAATAAGAGTTCATATGACTCTGCAGTAGTTGCCCTTTACAAGCTTCAACGACAGGGAAAAACTTACAATTGGGTGCTCTTGAGGGGTGAGCATTGGCTGGGTTGGTCGGGTTGGACTCTAGCCCGTTGGCCAACCCAATAGGTTCGGGTTGACATTATTAAAACCCATTTTCACCCAAGAAAATGGGCAAACCAACCCACCCAAACCATTTTATGACGGGTTGACAATGTCATGGGTTAGAATTATAACTTTGTTTCTTATACTAAAAGTGTATATGAATGACAAATAATCCAAAATGGATGTCATAGTGGGCTTAAATCATGTGAATTTTGTGTTGTAGGATCATTATTTGTTACTTGATACTTTAAGGGTTGTTTTATTAACACCTCACATCTTTGCGAATACACCCCACATCTAAAATATGCCTTTAGAATTCCAACTTCGTCCTCCATTTTTCTGAAGCCACCCGATCCCCATAAACAAACGAGGGCAAAAAAGATGGCTCGACGGCCACAGGCCACTCATATAAGAGGTATTCGTCATCGATATCAGCACAACCAAAAACCCCTCATGTCGCGAAAGTTGACAGCCAATATCAACTCTCTAACAGATCGAGAATTGTCCAACACTCTAAATTCACACACCCCAGGTAGCCGCCATAAGGGAGTGTATGGGGTTTATGTTGGACTTCAAAACTTAAATCGTCAGAGTAAAAATTGAAATTTAACTGAAAAAATAAAATTATGGGGTGTATTCATAAGATTGTGGGGCGTTAATAGACTTATCCTACTTAAATTGCATCATTTTGACTAAAGTATAAATAAACAAGTGTTCTTAAGAATTGTCTGTAAAGATACATCTATGTTTAAGAATTGTTTGATATTCGGGTGGATCAATTTCAATTAGGTTAATAATAATACTTCAACCTAACCGACTTGTTCAACGAGTGGCCGGATTTTTACCCAAAAATAAATGTTTAAAACCCTGTGTTGGTCGGTAAACTACTAAAGTGCCCACCCCTAGATAGTTAGCAAACAATGTACAGAATCGATAGACATTGTAGACGTAAAATCTGCTTTTGTAAATTTTCTATTGGTATAAAATTCAAAAGGGTCAAGTACTATACTGTATCACAACGAAAAGGGGGAAAGAAAGAAAAAATTGGTCATAATATGTACATAAACACCAAGAAGGTTATAAAAACGCTTTTCTTCGCTGTAAAGATGAGTTCCGTGACCCCAATCAACAGCTTTATTCTCTTTACTCTTCATTCTCTCGATAAAACCTGCACCGGAAATAAAGAGATTAGAACGAGATGACTGCATAGTTGTGTGCTTGTGCACACATGGACAGCGTGAGAGTGAGAGTGAGAGAGTCAATAATATTGGACGGGAGAGACAAGTCACCTTAAATGACAAGCCCATTAAAATTGGCTCAGTGAACTCGGATGTGGTAACATTTGCATTTGTGAGTGAACGGGCATTGTTGGCCATCAATATCAGTATACTCTTGTCCCAAGAAACTGGCATTCATCTTCCTGGGTCGTGGTTGTAACTGCAACTTCTTGGCCAACATGAGTTTGATCCCTGCAATTGAGAAAGCCTGATGTTAACGGTATATTCAAGTTGTGCCAGCGACATAAACGAGTCATATGAATTCCTATCCAACCGCATGCAAGTAAAAGGAGGATCCAAATTCCAATCCACGTTAATAAACTAAATTCAACTTTATTTCTAAAGGTGATAGGAACTTACAGTTAAACTGTCATCTTTTAAACTTTCCAGCGACTCAGCAAGCTCCACTTGTTTTGATGTTGTTGCGAACAATGCCTGAAAGAAAAGCTCTTGGATTTAGTAGCCAACTCTAATACGACAGAAACAAGAAACCTTACTGGTACATACTTCAAAATAACCCATGGTTACAAGAAAGAAGGTTGACTTACTTTCTTTGTCTTCTGTAAGTCGCACTCTATAGATTTAATGCGACTTAAAGATTCGTGAAGCATGTCTTCTTTCTCTTGAGGAATTTTAGTAGGTTTGTTTATCAAATTGGTAACCAATCCTTCTAACTGCTGCAGCCTCTGCCAGAGGGGACCTACATCTATTCCCTGTGAATTCTGTTGTTCCTGAGAACTTGAATTTTCAAGTGCCGGAGGTTTGAATCGTGTTTTTAAGCAGCTCTCTGAATAACGTGCTGCAAATATCCTCCCTAACATTGGGAATATGAGATATATGCCTGTTAATATTTTGAGTATGAGGTGAACGGTTAAACTTGCTACATGTGGAATGGATGTCTTCAGCGACCTTCTTGGGGTGAAGTTCATGGGTGAATCACCTGTCAAGAACAAAAACTTGAATAGAAATTTCCAAGTCTGAGGCATGAAAAGAAAACTGCCAGGCACTACATCACGAGTAAATATAAGAAGCTTGATAATTGACCAATGATCACCTACTTGTTAAACTTGAGTTAGCAACTTCCATTATTCCTGCAGTACTGCCTGATTCAACTAGGCTGCAGGGAGATGCAGCAGACTCGGTTGCCCTCTCCTGAGACAAATCAGAAGAAATATAGAGGATGAAAAGTTAGAAACTGATTGATATTTTATCATGTGACTGGATATAAACCTAGCCACAATCGTAAGTAAAATCTTTAACTTTAGTAAGGTATATAGATGCTAATAATAAAGTAGCTATAGAGATGCAGTCAGTAGTTAAGTGAAAGGAGATGACACCCAAGAAAAGAGAACTTCAGAAAATTTACTTCGTCAGAGTTAGACTTTGATAGCTGCAAGAAGGCAGAAGTACTTGACCTCATTTCTGATCCTGACTCAGCTGCAGATACTATTTCACTATCTGTAATCTGCAAAGTAAACCCAAGCAATGTGAAATATGATACATGGGTACAAGGTAATAAGAACAGTATCCATTGAAGGTTTGGCTTAAGTCACCTTAGAGGTAAGCAGCTTGATTCCGACATCGTCGCCATCATCAGAACCTTTGATTTTCCTCAGGTGCATTGTTTCTCCAACGTGTACCAGCTGCAAACAGAAGTCAAATGAGCATGGAACTGGCAAGAAAACCCCCAATATTCAGCCTATTAACCCAAACTACGGTTAACCCACTAGAATCATACTTTCATTATTTCTGGATCATTCCAGGGTCCCTTTCCAGACCTAAGGCACCCGCCTTCATTTGGACACGAGCAAGTTCCCCCAAGGAAATCCGGAAGTTGGCTGTTTAAAGAGAGAGTTGCTGAAATAAGTTTCGCAACACGAACCAAAAGTTCCGACAGCCATTATATTCATTAAAAAATCAAACTAATTTATCAAATAGTAAGAAATCCGAACCTCGAGTCTATGATTTCCAAAAGCTTGTTTTGATATCTGTTGCCTAAGACCTGCAGAAGCACTTATTAGTAGTCAATAGTACCTTCAAAATGAAATCATCAAATGACAAATATCCACATACATGTATCTTTCCAGTAGTCCTCGGGTCAAGAAAGCCTTTTGCTGTGTTCCAAAGTAGCTTGAACCCGTTACCAGCATTTACCACAAACATTTGATGTAATGTCTGTGGAGAACAATCTAGTGTCAGAAATAAATAAAAACGATTTCATAAAATGTTATCAGTTGGTTTCAGATAATATTAAATCCACCTCAGGATAGTTATCACCGTCCATTTTCTGTATGCGCATAACAAGGTCATGTGCAACCTTGCCAAAGCTCATCCAGTTCTGCATAATAATAATAATAATGATAGTAAATTAGGAAAAAGTATAGTTATTTCAAAAAATACGTATGATACATAGAACTGAATAAATGAAATTGAGACTTAATAAGTTACCATCCCCTGGACATCTAGAATAGTGGTTGTAGAATCTATATGCTTTTTGGCCGCAAAAGAACATGCTGGGAATTTCTCAGCAAAAGCCTTCTCAAAACCCTGGACATGATATTTTAGAAACCGTTCCACTGTGGTGACATTCATTAGTTTGCTAGGTTCAACTTTTCCAAGTCTTTCAATATAAAGAGGTCGCCCTGCCTTGTCTACACCATGATAACCATGAGGATAGAAACGCTGAACCTCTTCATATTCACTGTACACAAAATCCTACAAATTTATCATTGTAACACCTCTATTAGAACTCAGAGAATGAAATGAAATCTCCGCTAAAACAGGCATTAAAAAGTTCCTCTTGTTTGATATTCTGTAGTCTTTACATATTCGACAAAAGAGTCTTTCTTTATCAAAAGAAATGAAATATAAGAAGATATGTATCAGTCGTCCTTCGAAATACTCTTAATAGCATTATACCTTCACAATAGATTCTACTCCAAACTCTCTCCTCCAGTTGAGCATTTCTGCCCACATTTGAAAAGATTTATCAATGTCGAACTTCCTCGCCTTCAAAAATCTGCATAAACACGGCCTAGCTATTAGTAACCAAATCCAAAAAGCTAGAAGGACTATAAAAAAATATACACTATCATTGCAGTGAGTCAATCACCTCAGCATTGTATGATAATCATCGAACTGAGCCGGAAGCATATCTTTAGCAATCAATGCATCGCGAAACGTAATCACAGCTTCTTCCTCCTCAGCATCCCGAGCATTTTCAATTGAAATCGATGCGTAGCGACAATTTGCCACACGCGTGCCACGCTTTCTAGGAGTGTTTGTTAATCTCAAGGAAGCATTTGAAGTCCTTTTCTTAAGAGATCTGCTCCGAGGTCTCCGCCTCTCGTCCTCGGAGGTTTCGAAATCAAAAGTTCTAGACTTTTCGTCTTCTTGCAACGAAATTAATTCTCCTAAAGTTACATATCGAAATGCAGAAAAATGAAAATTTTAGATCAAACATAAATATTAAGATCCGATTTTTGTAGAGAATTTTACTGAGGAATCGGATTAATGTACCTGGCATTGTTGCTAATCGAATAGGATTACAGCTCGAGCTCAGATTACATCTGCATCGAATAAGAACAGCAAAAACAGAGAAAATCAAATAAATAAATCACCAAATTTACAAATAAAATCCTAAATTTCTTAGAAAATACTCAACAGTTCAAGAAAACGACGAAATCTACCAAGATTTTATCAAACTCTCGGATAAAACCGGGAAACGGATCCGAAAACAGAATCCAGAAACGAAAATTCAAAGCCGCAAAAACTTCAAAAAAAAAATTGCATTCGTACCATAAGCTGATCAGGTGATTGAATCGCAAGCGCAACTGAAAATTGCGAGCGAACATTTGACGGAATCGAGCGCGGGCGTGGCGGAGAATTTCGGAAAGAATTGAATTGTTGATGCTGCTTCTCTTTCTCTCTCTTTGAGAAATAACAGGTGATGAGAGAGAGAGGAAGAGAAAGCGAAATGGAGGTTGCTTTCGGATTAAAATGGCATTTTTTTCTTATTTTTTTCTCTCTCTAAGCAGCGAACTGTGAGTCTGAAGACGAAGAGGCAGATGAGAGAGAGAGAGCCGAGACGACAGAAGGAACGTAGCCGAAGCGGAGAAGAAGAGAGAGAGGCATGTCGTTGTCAAAAGCGTTAGAACAAGAAGTAGCGTACAACGGCCGCTTCAGCTCCGTCATCATCTTTTTTTTTTTTTTTTTTTTTTTTATTTTATATTTTAACAAACGATATTATCTACGTTAGGATGAAGGAGTTGAACTTAACCTCACTTTAGTACTAGTCTCGACTTAAAAGTTAAACTTTGTAGGTTGTTGCCATAAGGATAGTTTAATTATCCAATTTTCCGAGGTATGCTTAGTAATTTTACACCTAAAAGAATTTGAAATTTCCAAATATCATTCGTGAATAGACATGACAAACAAATTGTTTTTTTGTGCTTAGAGTCGTGTTTGACACGAACACAATATGTTAGTTAACATGTCGATCCAATATTAATAAGACTTATTACGGCTAAACCGAATGCTATATTTTTCGTCTCATTTCGTATTGTATATAAACTTTTCAGATCAATTTATGAGCTAATTATGCCAAAAATTATTTCTTATTGCAAGTGATTTTTTAAATTTAACTAAAAATAAACGGGATAAAAAGTGTTCGAACTTGAGTATATATGATGAGCGCTTTAAGTTCAACAAATATAATTCATGTGCGCAATTAAGCTATATTTTTTAAATTTCTACAAAGGTCAAATCGTGATAATAAAAATTTAAGGGCCGAAGTAGAACATTTTATTTTTGGTAGGGCCGAACTACAAGAACAAAAAACATGCTTTAATCTTTATTTTATTATTTCTTTAGTTTATTGTTTGTTGGCGCCGTTTGTTAACTGGAGACGGAGGAGGGTGTGATTGGTGATTAGGTGCTGTAGAGTTTACGCTACGCTTACGAGGAGACGGAGTTTCGGTGTGGAATATTTGTGTGGGTGCCACGTCATCGTCCACACGGTAGGTGACACGTGGAAGGGCGTCGGTGATGTGACGGTGCTCTCAATTTCTCAAAATTGGATGCTGATTCGAGAGAATAAGATGCCACGCTTTGGACCGGGAGGGGAATCAAAGCAAAGGTCGCCCCTCGTGTGCCTACCGCAACGCACACCTCCCTTTCAATTCTCAATTTTTTGTTGTCATTTGTGTGAGAAAGTTCCTCGTATGAAAATTCTTTTCTATTTTATGGGAGAATTTGCACAAATGCTATTTGAATTTTTACGTTATTATAATTTTATTATAAAGATTTAACATAAAAATAGAGCGTTTCCTTCTTTATCCAAGCTTGAGTTTCACAATTATTTATATCGTTGTGTAGTTTCATCCATCTTTTTGTGATCACGTGACAAGCATGAGGGTTCTTTTTCAATAATATTTGCATCAGCTCATGAGATTAGGGTGTTTGACACCATTAACTCCATCAGCTTACACTCAAATTGGCATCAACTTTGGTGTAGGTTGAGGGAGTGTATAGGGTTGCACATCGTAATACTATGCAATAATGAAAATGCATTGAAGAAGGACTATCACATTTGTCATGTGACCATTAGGTGACAACAAAATAAATAAAAACGAAGACAGATTACAGATTAGAATGGTTGTGATACATGTACTTTGATGATTAATGATTTGCGGAATTATCAATTTTTCACTAATGATCTTATAATCCACAGCATTTAATAAAAATTAAGATTGCATCTTTTGAACAAAAAAGTTAACCTTTTTATTTTGTCTAAGTTAAGAAAGAAAGAATCATTAGTTTTTCTTTCCACTTTTGAACATCTAGAAACGCCCTTTTTACAAGTTTAACATATTCGTATATCTTAAAAAATAGTACCTAACCGCAAGACCTAATAGGGTTGATGTCACGTGGCACATGGAGACAAGGAGTACACGGCATGAAAGGGTGCCGAAATTTTAATATATATTTGTAATATTTCTTATATATCATCTCTCTCTTTGTTAAGAAAAAATTGGAACAATGGATCCAGAAGTTTCACCCTATTAGAGTTTTAGTCTCAGAATTTGTCATAATGTTGAGCAATGGTATTTTAGATTAACATTAACACGGTTTAGAAATTTCATTCAAAATAAGGGATTTAAAGAGCCGAAAAAGAGAGGAATGTTTTAACACACTTACCCAAAAAGATCGTTGCTCCATATGGCAACAAGTTCAAGGACCAATACTCGGGTAAGTAAATTTAATAGTCTGAATTACTCGGCAATCCACTTTATATCCATTAAATTAGCAAATAAGTAAAAATATTATTTCCTCAATTCAAACCTGATTGTTTATTTTTCGTACTAGTGAGTAGTCCGGGAATATTGAAGAAAGATTGTCACTACTCACATAGTTTTAGTTTATGGACCAAACTTCAGACGAAAGTTTATAGACTACTGCTCCAGTTATCTCTAATATCTCGAAATCACAATGGACATGTACTTCAAGCGGCTAAGAGTTTTGTCGCCGCACCCACGTTGTGTTTGGTTTCCCTTTCCCTCAATATTTTGTTATGAAAAATATTCTCTCATTCAAACCCAAGTTGGCTGTTAAACAAGCATGTTCTTTGACAGGATCATTGCTCCAAAGATTCTCTCTGTTTTTTATTAAGCTAGTTTGAGTCAAGTCAAGGAATCAAGGGTGGCAAAACATGAGACTTAATCTTCATACTTGATCCCTCACCTACCTGGAAGAGTTGTCCTTTTGGATTGTCAATTTGTTTACATTAGTTTCTTTAAAAATACTTCCATTTGTCACAGGTCCAACTATCAAAGATTCCCTCTTCACAAATTTCATTTCAATAGTTCGGGAGAGACAAGAATCAAACTCTGACCAAGAACGTGAAATATTCATTCTTTACCATTTGAGTTACAAGCCTCCGAAATATTCTCCGAATAAAGAAAGATTCACCGTTAGCTAGAAACTGTAGCGAAATCTTTCTTATTAAGATGATGAAAATGTAATGAGAAAAGTGAGAAGAACATGAGAAGCTAGAAGGACAATCATTGCATCCATCTGCAACCCTCAAGGCCATAAGTTATGGTGGCTATGATTTGGGGGGCATTTTCCTTTTTATATCATTTACAAAAGGAAAACAAGGTGGGACAGATCAGCTGAGGAACATGGTTGTGACTTGTGAACCCCCTTTTACACACAGCACAAAAGTTATCAAGAGTAGGCAACTGGCAGCTACAGTCTAACTACAGAGCTTTTGTAGTGGGAATATACAATTGGTTTACAGATTCCTTCCAACCATAAATCAGATTTAAAGGACTTGAAGCAACAAGATTCCGATAAATCACTAGTCCGGGAATTACTGTACAATCGTACATGCTTTAGGAACTTGTACATTCCAGTGCCTCCGAGGGCGTACTTTGGCAGCGTTTGTTATTCAAACTCACCTGAAAATGAGAACAATACAATCAGCACTTGTTATTCGGAGAACACAGCAATGGAAATGAAAGCATTATAGTTACATGATTATGAGCCCATAACATGGACCTTTCTGTATTTCCCTTCTTTCGTGGTTCTGCGTGCGAGTTCTCATGTGCGCTTGTGTGTGTTACTGTGTTATAACTGAAGTGATAGCATTCATTGGTTTTGTCTCAAGTCTAATGACTCCACTGCATCGTTGCATTTTATTTTTGATAGGTGGTGTTTCTATCTTTATATATGTTAATAAGGGTAGGATAGAAGCAAACCACGTTGCTTCCTCGATGAAGAAATCAAAGTTACAGTACAAACAATGATCCTAGCAGCACAAGACATGGATGATTCTGACAAAAACATGCAATAAGAAGTTATAACAATGTAAAATGGCAATCAGGAAACACTATGATTCACCTTAGAAGACAAAGGATGTAAAGAAGCCCAGCGCGCAGGATCTCTTATCTGCTGAATCTTGCAAAGCGGGTTCCCAATCTCCTCCAAACATGATGGGTTTTCTTGCCTCTCCCCATGTTGAGAAGAGGAAGTCAGCTTCTCTTTTCTCTCTTCTAGAATCTGTAGCTTTTCCATTAGCAAATCATCCTCAGTGTCAATCTTCAACCTTTCATTATTTACTGTGGACAACGAGTTCTTCATTGAGTCTATCACCAAGGTTTTGCATCAGGAGTTATCCATCATCGGTAACCCACAATGCATATCCAAAGAACTTGCAATGAATTTAGGTTCAGTATCCACCTGGCTTGTACTTGGAAAACCTTGTAATAACTCACTGCTCCTGACCCCGGTAGCTCCAAATGTAGAAGCAAAATCTTGGGATCCATCCAATGTAGTATAAAATGATGATCTACTTTCTTCTTTCCAAAGTTCAGTTTTACCATCAACGACATGAACATCATAAAAAGCTGGCTCAATATCAAGCATTGAACCATGCAAATTTCTCTGAAGATCCCCATCATGCTGTTGCACTCCATCACAATGTAAGTTTTCCTCAGTACCAATATGAGCTTGGGCTGCTTCAGGAGTTATTTCTTGGCACATTACATCTTCCGTGTGTACTTTTTCTTCCCCTTCTGAAAGTACACATTTCTCAAGTGAATCATGTTCATTAGGATGAATTTGTTTTTCAACAAATGAAGCCTCATATTGAGAAGTACTATTTGCAATATTTCCGAATTCCGTACAGTTAGATTTACTATCAGCAGTCTGCTGCAGCAGTGCATCTGTATTTGACTCAACAGAAGGTGAAGGCCTTTTTCCCGATTCACACAACATAGCACTCAAATCAGCATCAGACCGTTCATTTCCTAAGAAGCTCATTTGCCTATACGATTCAACTTCCTTCTCCAAAAAATGGTTCTCCATCTCCCTCCTAAGAAGAATCTCTTTCAGAACACCCATCTCCTCTTCATCATAAACAAATTTTTCTTCCATCATCCTCTGATACTGCCTCACTTCCATTTCTATTGATGCTTTATCCTTTTGCAGACGTGCTATCATGGACATCGCTTCGTCAGCAGCACTTGCAGCAGCAGCTCGCTCTTTCTCTAGCTCTAGATAAAGAGCAGCACAAGCAGCTTTCTCTTTTTCCAGTGCTTCTTGCAACACCCTGAGTTTATCAGTTTCATTTCCAACAACGGGAGCCTTTTCTTGCGTATAACTAATGTCCACGTCCTTACTCTCACCAAATGATCCACTCAATTCAGAACTTTGGCAGATACTCTCAGCCATATCATTTCCAGTTGGTGCTTTCACATAATCTAAAACGAAAGAAAATCCGCAAAAGTGAGAAAACATCATTACCAATACAGTAAAAATATAAGTTCATATCATATGCAAGCAATTCTAGTTTTAAAAGATTTTCGAAAAATTGAAATAAATTTGATTAACACTACATTCTAATATATATATATAAATCCACACATTAAAGAAAAAAAGGTTCCTCTAATATTGAAAAATATGAAATCAAGTATTGAAAACAACCAAACAAGTTTAGATATTCCTCATCCTCACCTTCTCTACCAGCTATGGCAATTGAGCTTTCACCTGACATCTCTCTTGTATCTATGTCATCGCAAGGAAAAGGGAATATGTGAGCAAACAACTTTGAACTATCACTTGGATAGTAAGAAGGAAGCCTTTCATATTCAGGAGCCGCCCTCCTAGAGCGCCGAATTCCAGTCCTTTTCTTCAGAACCATAACCCTCTTCCCCTTAGTGTCGTACCCACTTTCCCTATCAACCAGGTTTTGCAATCTGGGACTCGAAAATGGACTAGAAGCTGCTTCACCTTGCAACTCACGAACTCTATTCTCACAATTTACATCTCTGATCAGTTTCCTATTCAAGTTGCACCTTTGATCCCTAGACCAAAGAACATCAAACGGGAACTTGCTATTCACCAACTTATGGACAGCACCGATTGTCCCAACAGGCCCGTCAATAAGCAACAACTTATGCAAGCAAAGATCAGGGTTTCTATACCCGAAAACCCATTACATGGACATGGAAAACAAACCCAAAAAATCCCCAACAACTTCGAAGCGAAAAACACGAAAGCAGACACGCATAGCAGGATATAAGCCAAACCCAGGTCGACAAAGGCTCCCAAAAGAGCAGTAAAGGTCCATGGCTGAACTTCCTGGCAAGCAAAAGCCATCCCTTTTCAAAGTAATCAAAATTCTGGGATTTCACTGAATTGTGGGAAGCAACTGAAGAATCATACCAAATAAACTAAGAATATTTTGCTGAATTGGGCGCAAAGAATCCACCAAACCAAAACCAACTCAGTTGGAGACACATAAAAATATCAAAAGAGAAAAAGCTAAAACTATGCTTCTAATTGAAAGTAGTGCATCATGATTAAAAAGCCCTTGAAGGAAAAAATAATAATCCAATATTTATGCGCTAATAATCATGGCCTACACTCCAACTAGGTACAGGTCAATGAAGCACGCAAAAGCTTAGCAAATAAGGAAGGTGAATTTAAAAATATATAAAAAGAGTTGAAAAAATAGAAGAAAATAAGTAAAAATCTCAACTTTTACAGGAAATTGGTAACTTGGAGAGCTGAAAGGGAAAACCCAGCAAGGATATGGGGAGATCGTGATGGGTTTGGACTTTTGAGCCTCGAGGTCGGAGAGCAGCTTCGTTCGCAGAGTTTTGGAAAGAGACGGCTTTTCAATTGGGGAAGAAAGCGAGCAAATAGCTCCTAGCTGACTGCTGTTCACTATTACGGCGTCATCTATTAAGTTGTTGTTTCGTATACTGTTACGTGCTGCGCGCCAAATCCCCCTCAAGGTCAAGGGTACTACGACATCCTTTTTAGTGTCGTTTATGGGTTTGCAAGCATGTTGAGCTATGCATATGAATAATTTATCGATGTGATTACTACAGTGTCACTTAGTTTTGTCAATCTATAATCATAATACATATATCTAATTTTATGAATTATCACATTTTATTTTTATTTTTTATGAATGAATTATTACATTGTTTGTCCTTTCATATAATCATATTATTACATCATTAATGTTGTAATATTACATTATCAATGTTGTAGTACTACATTTTAAACGAATTCTTAATTAATTTGATGGTAAAAATAAAGTGCGACACAAAAAAAACCACAATGATTCATTTAATTTTTAGAGGAAAGGCCGCCATCTAACCCTACTTTTAAGAAAAATTGAACAATCAAAGACTTAAAAGAAAATGAGAAAATGCAAGGGTGTGCTTTTTTGTTAAATCATGAACGAAGTGTGACCCAACCAAACCAACCATATGTTTCACAAGAACATGAATGAATGATCTGCCTAGTAATTAAGGTCATTATGATGTAGTTGGAACATGATAATTATTAGTGTTTAGTGGTATTCATTTTCACTTGTAAGTGAGAGGTCTTAAATTCGATTATTTGCAAATGCAAATTTAAACCACATTATTGTTAGGTCATTGTGAGGTTAATGACACCCTTCTCTCTTAACATAGATAATATCATTTGTTCAAAAAAAAAAAAAAAAAAACAATCACCTCTTGTAATCCATACTCTTGAACAAGTCAGTGTACACCAAAGAGGAAAGAAGACAAAACATTGGTGGCACGAACATGCCGCATAATTTGGGTTTTGAATCAAGACAAATGTTTTAGAGTTGACTCTTTTAGAGCACTTCCACCTTATAGGACAATAGACAATTATTGCCTTAATGAATAGTAACTATCCGATTGCATTTTACTTCGTAACTAAATTTTTTGAGCAATTGGTATTATTAATTCCGTCACGTCACGTGTCATTATCCGAAATTACAATTTTTCTAGAAGAGTATGATTGGATATTTAAAGGACATATTTAAATTTTCCCCCCTTTTTTTGTATTTTGTATTTTTATTTTTAACATTATTTTCTAACCAAATAAATTTTAATATGCATTTTTTAATTTTAAAAATTTCTCTAACCAAATTAATACGAAGTGTTAGAAAAGGGCAACTAATGAAAAATGTTTGAAAACTTTAAGTTTTAATGATAAGGACAAAATAAAGGGTAAAGTGAATAGTACCAAGATTGACTTTTTAGTGTAAAAATATAATTTTTCGTTAAAGTAAATAGTATCATAAACTTTTCGTTAAAACTTCCTCATTTATATTCAGCGTACTCAATTGTGCAGCGTGGGCACACCAGTCACTTTGAATATTTAAAAATTTTCTAACCCAAGAATGGTTGAATTAATAAACACTGTTAGATTATATGACCGTTGGAAACTCAATGTGTATTGCACGTGCCTGATGCAGAAAAGTTTTACACATGGCCGACGTCATGCGGACGTCAACCTTGACGTCAAATCACAAGGGCAATGGGCCGTGCACAAATTGCTTGACTGCTTCTTTAGGTAGGCTTGGGCCTACGTTTTGCCCGACTTTTTTCAATGGCCCAGAGCTTTTTTTTTTTTTTTTTTTTTTGGCTTTTGGGCAAAAAGTGCCCAATTGCCTGACAAAAAGAGGTTAGCTGAAATTGCTCTCAAGAATTTCTTGTGGATCAAACTAAGGTGGCTGTTGTTGAGTATATTTTGGCTCTCTACTATAAGTTAATTGTTATAAATAGGTAAAAGTTAGAAAGATAACATTTACTAGTGACAGGAGCGAAGCATGTGTAAAATATCACACTATAACTATAACACAAGGGGATGACAAATGAAAGAGGGAGGGATAGATACTGATGTTATAGATCTTTTCTTCCTTTTAGTATTTTGATAGTACACGGAACACTCTATTTATAGAGTAACTCCAGCACACACCTTTTGAAAATACAATCCTCATTCGTTTCCCAAGTCCACATTACTGTGTGGGCATTCATTAATCCATCAATATTTTCAACATTACTATGTGGGCATTCATTAACCCACAAATATTTTCAACACTCCCTCTTGGATGCTCACATATCAACATCAGTTGGCTCGTTAAAACCTTGCTCAAAAAAACCCAGTGGGAAAAAACCATAGCAAAGGAAAAAGAGTACAACTTTACCTGGATTGTTGATATAGTGTTAAATATGCTTATGTTACCTCGTTAAAACCTTGATAGGAAAAATCCAGTGGGAAAAATCCTAATCGAAGGAAAAATAGTACAACATACATGTATCTTGGATGTTCCCTCTGATATGTATCTCCTCCTGATTCCACATTTTCCAAATTTATCTGATTGGTAAGTCGACGTAATCCGATACTTTGCACTAACTTTTGAAACGTGCACTTTGGTAGAGATTTAGTGAACAAGTTTGTTAGATTTTCATTGGAACGAAATTGTCTGACTTCAATAACTTTAGCCTTCTGAAGCTCATGTGCACTGAAAAACTTTGGAGATATGTGTTTAGTCTTATCGCCCATAATGAATCCTTCATTCATTTAGGCAACATAGGCTGCATTATCTTCATGAATGACAGTTGGATTGTCTATCTTCGAAGTTAGACCACATGAATTCCGGATATGATGGATCATTGATCTTAACCAAGAACATTCACGACTTGCTTCATGTAAAACAGGTATTTCTGAGTGATTTGAGGATGTAGCAACTAATGTTTTCTTTGTTGAGCGCCATGAGATTGTTGTATCTCCATTCTTGAACACATATCCAGTTTGTGAACGAGTTTTATGCAGATCAGAAAGAAAACCAGCATCTGCATATCCAACAAGGACCTGGTCATTTATGGATATCTTTGAGTAGAAGAGACCCATGTCTGTTGTCCTACAAAGGTATCGCAATACATCTTTGATTTCTTTCCAATGACAAATTGTTGGAGCAAAGCTATACCTTGTTAACAAATTGACTGAAAAAGCTATATCTGGTATAGTACATTGTGCTAAATACAATAAAGCACCTATTGCACTCAGATATGATACTTTTGGACCAAGGACCACTTCATCATCTTCTTTTGGATGGAATGGATCTTTCTTAATGTTCAGAGAACGAACGATCATTGGCGTGCTGAGTGGATAAGCCTTGTCTATGCGAAATAGCTTCAAGATTTTTTCAATGTAAGTTGATTGGCGGATCAAAATTCCACTAGCACAATGCTCAATCTGTAGGCTGAGACAATATTTTGTTTTTCCAAGGTATTTCATTTCAAATTCACTTTTCAGATATTTAGTAGTTTTATTGAGCTTTTCAGTAGTTCCAACTAGGTTCATATCATTGACATATACTGCCACTATAGCAAATCCAGAGTTGGATTTCTTAATGAACACACAAGGGCAAATGACATTATTGATATACCCTTCTTTGATCAAATACTCACTTGAGACGATTATACCACATTCGTCCAGATTGTTTCAGTCCATACAATGATCACCTTAATTTGATTAAAAGCATACTTCATAGTTTGTTAGTTGTTTCAGGCAACTTAAGTCCTTCTAGGACTTTCATATATATGTTAGTATCTAATTCTCCATATAGATACGCAGTGATGACATCCATAAGTTACATGTCAAGTTTTTCTGAAAGCACTAAACTTATTCAGTAACGGAGCGTAATTGCATCCATTACAGAAGAGTATGTCTCCTCATAATCAATTCCAGATCTTTGCAAAAAGCCTTGTGCAACGAGTCGTTCTTTATATCTTGCAATCTTGTTTTTCTCATTTCGCTTTCTTATGAATACCCATTTGTAACCCATGGGGTTTATACTAGGCGAGGTTTGGACTATCAGTCCAAAAACATTTCACCTTTCCAAGGAATTTAATTTTGCCTGGATTGCGCTTTCCACTTAGGCCAATCTTATCTCTGTTTGCATTGATCGACAAAGCGAGGCTCAATATCATCACTTAATATGATTTCGATGGCTACTGAGAATGCAAACATGTAATACCCTGAATAATTTAAAATGTGTGATTATGTGGAAATTTTTTATCGATAAGGTCAAGTGACGAAAATGCCACTTGGTGGCTAAACGTAATTTTACGGGGACGTATCTTATCCTCATTTATTATGTCAAGTTTCTTGACATATTTGGATAGAGTTCAATCTTACGAATGTGCAGGTGAAAACTGTTCCTGAAACGGAGTTATAACGAATAAGTTATTAACGATTGAAGTTGAGGGCGAAATAGTGATTTTGCCATTAAATTGAATGGCTCCAGATCTTCTGGAGAAATGGGAGTGCCACATGGGTGGCTGAGTTGAATCGGCAAGGAGAGAAAGGAGAGTGGAGAGGGATTAGAGGGACCAATCAGAAACCAAGGAAGGGAAGGAAAGGAGAGAAGAAGGAGAATGGAGAAAACGAGTCTCTTAACCCGTGCAACCCAACCGGGGGCACCATGGAAATCCGATGGTCTCCTGGACAATTTTCGGTGAGTTGAAGCCCCTCGCCACTTGGAAATCATTTCCCATCATTCCCTTTACCTATTCTACCCCAAATTCGATACAATTTAGCTTTGAAATTGGGAAAATTGCACCGGTAGGTGTGCGGGTTCATAGAGGTCAATCCCCCAAATTTGAAACAAATTTCTTCGATTACCACCACCTATAGCATCCTCTTGAGGTTTGGAACAAAGCCCAAACAACTATACGGGCGATGGAACACCAGAGGTGACGGATCGAAGCCAACCATTCTTAGGGTTTCTGACGGGTTTGAGGGAAATTGGAGCTTTTCCCGGCCAAATTGGACTTGGTTACAGGTATAAAGTTTACTATACTCTTTGAGATCTTCATTTTTGTAAATTTTGAGAATTTTTAGAAATAGTTGAAATTTTTAGGCGAGTTGGGGCAGCCGACCGCCACTCACAACGACGCGTGGCCAGAGGGCTGTAGATATCATTTTAAGCCACCTTAGATGTTTTGAGTCTTAATTTGATAATTGTATGGCTTAGGTGGATTGGTTGAACCTAAGCTTCGCTACGATACAATGCTTTGATTAATTTAGGAATCGATGATTCGACTATTGGATCGTCACCGAAATTTGAGACATTATAATAAGTAATATTTGAGGACCTTGGGAACTTATGGACTGGGAATCCGACGAATAGATCTTTCTGAATTGGGTTTGTAAGTTCGTAAAATAAAACGTCGATCGCTATTTGAATTCTTGATTGGCGGAGATTCGACCGTTGGATCATAATGAAATTTTAGTATATTGTTCTAGAAGCAAAATGATGAACTACGAATGACTTGATCCTTTCGTTTAGGGTACGTAGGCAGTCTAACCAGGATGTTAGATGCAGCCATAAATTAAACAAAATGATTATTTTTTTTAGTGTGGTTAGTTAGAATTATAATTAACCATTATTTTATTGTGGCCTACCTATGTGTTTGGCTTCCAAATTAGAAACTACAGGTCATTACAGAACATGTCGTCGATGATTATTTCATTATGATCCCCTAATTCATTAGTACAAGCATAATTTATGGAGATTTCTTTGCTTTCATGTACCTCTGTTTCTTTAAGTACATGTGTCTCACCCATGACATTTTCCTTTTCTGAAAGTACAGAATCATGAATTGTGGATTTATCATTCATTTTTTCTTCTTAAATGATTTCATTTGGATTCAGTTGTGCCCTTGTCTTTCTCTTTCGAGGGGTTGAATCTTTTGAACCTGGAGGTCTACCACGTTTCAGGCGTGCAACAAATGAATCATTCGCTGCCACTTTATTTTGTCTAACAGGGACATCAATTCTTGCAGGTGGGACATCAATTATTGCAGGTGCATTTGCAGCTAGTATATATGATTTTGTCACTTTCATAGCATCATTAAATGCATTTGGCATTTGATTGACAATACTTTGAAGATGAACGATCATTTTCACATTGAGTGCTACATAGATCAAAATGAAATAAGGTGGAACAACCCATGTTAGCTCTTGCTGTTTTTCTAGAACGGTATTTTCTCCCCCTAACGATAGGAATACTATCTCATCAAAGTGACAATTAACAAAACGAGCTGTAAACATATCACTTGTCAAGGGTTCCAAATATCTAATGATAAACGGTGAATCAAAACCCACATAGATTCCCAGTCTGCGCTGAGGTCCCATCTTAGTGTGTTGTGGTGGTGCAATAGGTACATAAGCAGCACAACCAAAAACTTGTAAATGTGAAATGTTTGGTTGATGCCCAAACACAAGTTGTATTGAGGAGTATTAGTGGTTGGCTATAGGTCTCAATCGAACCAATGATGCAGCATGTAAGATGGTATGTCCTCATGCAGAAACTGGCAATTTTGTTTTCATGAGCAGAGTGCGAGCTATTAATTGAAGCCGCTTGATCAATGTTTCTGCTAAACCATTTTGAGTATGGACATGAGGAGCATGATGTTTAACATCAATGCCCAATGTCATGTAGTAATCATCAAAAGTTTGAGACGTAAATTCATTAGCGTTATCAAGTCGGGTTGACTTAATGGGGTAATCTGGGAACTGTGCTCGCAACTTAATTATCTGAGTTAGAATTCTCGCAAAAGCTACATTCCGAGTAGACAAGAGAGAAACATGTGACCATCGGATAGATGCATCAACCAAAACCATAAAATATCGAAATGGTCCACAAGATGGTTGAATAGGCCCACAAATATCCCCTTGAATTCTTTGCAGAAATGATGGGGATTCATCATCAGCATTTAGTTGTGATGGACTAATTACCAACTTCCCTTGAGAACAAGCCTTGATGGGCTATCATTTGAGATAACAATGTGTCTGCTTACTAGTGGATGTCCATTAGAGTTGGTAATGATCTTACGCATCATGGTAGATCCTGGGTGACCCAGATGGTCATGCCAAAGCATGTAAACTTTTTAATCAATGAACTTCTAGTTCATGACAGTATGTGATTCAATTGTCTTTATGTATGTATAATATAATCCACTCGTCAAACCACGCAACTTATCCAATATATGCTTCTAGGTATCATTGGAGGTAGTGCATAGATACTCCACATTTTCTAAATTTTTCGTTTCAATGTGGTATCTATTTAAACATATGTCTTTGAAACTCAAGAAATTTCGAGTACCGTACAACGCATTCTGTATGGACAATATTTTTCCATTTGGTAACATAATCTGGGCTTTCCCTGAGCCTTCAATTACATCTGATTGCCCTGATATTGTTGTTACCCTTACTTTTGTAAGCGTCAATCTTGAGAAATACTTTTGATCTCGAAGTATTGTATGCGTGGTTACGTTGTTTACAAGACAAATATCTCTACCATTGCTCTTGTTTTGAGAATGACCATAGTGCTTATCCATGCTTTATCAAACATAAACGATTCAGTTGGACCGGTATACTTCATTCTCCATTTCTACAATAAAGTCTGAGACATCTAGGTGGGTTGTGTTCAACTGCCCTGATAAGTCACACACAGGATAAGGTATATCCATTGGTTTAGCCTGGTCGAGAAAATTGGTCTCAACACCCTTCTCCTTGATGGAGGCTTGATATAGATCCACCAAATATTTTGGGGTACGACAAGTACGCGCCTAGTGCCTATTGCCACCACACCTATGGTAGGCTCCTTCAAAGTTTCTGGAAGCATTATTCATATGAGCTTTGCCTTTGTGGCGATTTACATTTTTGAAGCTCGGGTCTAAATTATGCCTTTGAACTTGGTTGTGAAACTGGACACCATGATTCTTGTATTTCTCGTTCTACCATCATCGTTTGTGGTCACGTCCTCGTTTATGATTATTACCACCAGAGGAAGTGGCGTTTACTTCGAGGGAATCAACATTCACTTTTGGGAATGGTGCATATCCAGTAGGTTGAGACTGATGATTTTTCATCAGGAGCTCATTGTTGTGTTCAGCTACCAAGAGCACATATATTAGCTGGTTGTATTCAGTGAAATCTCGTTCTCTATAGGATTGTTGTAGGAGCACATTTAAGGCATGAAAAGTGCTGAAGGTCTTTTCCAGCATATCTTTCTCAGTGATGGTTTTCCCATAGAGTTTCATTTGAGAGCTAATTCTGAACATCACAGAATTGTACTCAGCCACTGACTTGAAATCCTGGATCCTTAGGTGAGTCCACTCATAACGAGCTATTGGGAAAATCACCATTTTCTGGTGATTGTATATGTTTCTCAATGCCTTCCAGAGAATTAACAGATCTTCGACCGTTAGGTACTCGCTCTTTAGTCATTCATCAAGGTGGCGACATATAAAGATCATGGCCCTTGCACGATTTTGAGAAGATGCATTGTTCTCCTCCTTAATTGTTTCTCCAAGATTCCCTGCCTCCAAATGAATCTTGGTATCCACTACCCAGGTAAGTAGTTTTTCCCAGTAATGTCCAGGGCAACAAAATCAAGTTTTGCCAAGTTTGCCATTTTCTTTTCTAAAAGAAAAACTGAGATGTATAAGAACTTGTAATAATATGTATTCTGGAGGTATGTAGTGTTAGAACTTCTGGTTCTTACAAATTTTTCATTTTGATCTTTAGGCCAAAATGATAAGCACTTGAGACTTACATGATGAATGAGGAGGGTGATTGTACTGCATCATTCTCATTGAAATAACATAACATAAGATGAACGATTATTCCGCACCATTCAAGTAGTAAGAAAATTTAAATACGCAGAGCAGGGTAGGCGATTATACCGCACCACCTAAAATTGTAATGAAATTAAACAGCAGGTAAATTAAATATGCAGGGTAGGGTGGACGATTATACCGCTCCACCTAAAATTTGCAGTAATTAGATTTGCAATCCAAGATACGCGATGATACTGCACCATCTTGGATTGCAGTAAGATTAAATTTGCAGTTCAAGATGGTCAATTGTACCGCACCATCTTTGATTGCAGTAAAATCAATATAAATAAACATTGGGTTAGTAATCAAGAGCTACACCAAACAAGAAATCAAAGATATAAGTAACTATTAGGTTGAGAACTAGAAGCAGACATAGTGCAAACAGTTCTTCGCGAGGGTATATCCCGCAGTTGAGGTAGAGGAAGAAGAAGAACAGTAAAATCCTTAGAGGAAACAATTTTTTTTTCTTTCTTTCGGCAAAGAGAAATAAGAAATGGTTAGAGAGTCGTGCTGATAACGTGTTATAAATAAGCAAAAGTTAGAGATATAATCTTTACTAATGACAAGAGTAAAGCAGGTGTAAAATATCACAATGTAACTATAACACAAGGAGATGACAAATAAAAGAGGGAGGGATAGATACTGATGTTATTGATCTTTACTTCCTCTTAGTATTTTGATAGTACACATATCGCTCTATTTATAGAGCAACTTCAACACATATCTTTTGAAAATACAATCCTCATTCATTTCCCAAGTCCACATTACTGTGTGGGCATTCATTAATCCATCAATATTTTCAACATTACTATGTGGGCATTCATTAACCCACAAATATTTTCAACATTAATGACTATTACCATCACGTTATTACAACATTTTTAATGGGAGTCACTACTTAGAGATTTCCCCCACCATCTTTAAGGACTCATTTAGAAGCTTTAGAGGAATATTCGAGTCTCTAAAATAATATTGTCTACAATAGAAATCCCTTATAATATCATCCCTAAATGTAGGGACTAAAATATTAAATAATTATTATTCATTTCATTGAAGTATTGTAACTATTGATAAAAATTAAAAAAACTATCTCTACTATTGATTTTTCAAGAATTAAAAAAAAAAAAGAAAAAAGGCAAATGAGAAGTTGCCTCACTTGGGTGGGTTCAAAAAAACAAGTTAAAAAACATAAAGAGCACACCATTTCAACTCAAATTTAATATGGTGTCCAACATTTGAGTTTTTATATGTAATCCTTATATTTGAGAATTTTGTTAAGGTATTCAGCGAGTCTTTTTGTATTGAGATATTTTGAGGACTTAAATTTTGGCCCATTGGAAGTCATTTGTCCTTATATTTAGGGACTATACGGTTGTTGGGACTCCATTTAGGGTCTCCATTGAAGATGCTCTTATGCAGTTGGACAAGTGTTATTTAATCTATTTACTATTTTTTTTTAAACAACATATATTACATTAAGGAATAAGAAATAGGAGAATAAATTAGTATCGAGCTCGCGATTTATGCGAAAGTGAGACTTTCCATGAACTCTTTGTTACATTGTTTTTTTGGCACAATATTTTATGATATTGGCACGAAAATTGTGTTAAAAATATGAGGTCGTGAAAAGTCCATAAAGAATTTCATTTTTAAAAGAGTATTCTTAGCATTTCTCATCTTACTTAAACTACTTTTGCGCAAGTTTTAGAGGAAATAGATTATCTCCGGATCCCTTTATCTAACCAATTAAACAATTCGGACCCTTAAAATTTGATTCAACAGCTAAAAACATGGAGCGCTTTTAAAATTATAATAATTTTAACTGTTATATCAAGTTTTAAATATCCAAATTAAATGATAATGATTAGATGAATTTTGTGGAAGAGATTCGAAGAGCATCCATTTTCAATTTCAAAATCAATTCCTCCATCGGTTCAATTTAGGAGATGTACATTGCCTAAAGCCTAGCCCACGACCAAAAGATCCAATTTTGTTAGACGCAAGTAAATTCGTCTTTTCCCATGACTCACCGAGTATCTCAATCCCTCTTAAGAGCAACTCTAGCGTTGGAGCCCTTCACCTGGCAATGCACTATTCAATCCACCTAATGAACAGTAACTGCCCTTAATGAACAGTAAATAGCCCTGGCAATAGAATTTGCATCTCCACCGTTACACTTCAATAGCCCTGGCAATAGGCAATAAAATATTAGTATTTTTTTATTTATAAAATAATACAAAATAATTTTAATTGTAATAAAATAATACAAAATAATTTTTATTCAATTAATTAATCTCTGCCGTTGGATATAAAAAAATTTGAATTCCAACACTCCAGATTGTGCCACGTGTCACAACGGTAACTTTTCAGATTTTTAAAACTATTTTTTCATTTATTTTTTAATTTATAAAGCATTTTAATATCCACCGTTGATCTCAGATCGAACAGTGGATATTAAATCTGACTTAATTTTTTTTTTTACCGTTGAGATCAAACGGTCCAAATTAAGTGACCGTTGAGATCTAACTCACCGTGGGAAGCCATGTGGCTTCCCAACGGTAACTGACAGATTCTTTTTTTTCTGATTTTTGTGTTGGCGACGCGCCCCCACACGCGGATGGGGTGCACGCGCCTGACACAAAAAAAATTAAATATTACGCTGACGCCACCCTGGCGTCAGCCTGACGTCACGCCCACCTCGAGCTCTCGGGCTGGCAATCCCCCACGGAGCCGGAGCTCGGGCCACCCCCTTCCATCGGGCTAGCCCACGCTGGAGCCCTCCCACCGGCCCTCGGGCCCTTGTTTTGGAGCCTGTCCCCCGAGCCAAACCCAACGGTGGGAATGCTCTAACAAGCATATACCTCTGAGGACTCTGGTTCCTCGCTGACCACTCACATCCAAGCAAATGGAACCAGAGCCGCCAATCCTTCTTCCAAATGCCACTTAGCTGATTGCCTCCACAAACACAGGGAGGAGGAGAAAGCAGACGTCTCCAATGGCGATTTTGGCCCATGGGTTTTATCTACCCCCACCCACACGGACACCCAAATCATCAAATCGGAAACTTGTTGGGTATTCGAGCTCTATCATTGTCAGACGCAGATTGCTGACCGACGGGAACGAATGCGTGCAGGTTTCCGAACTCTTCACTCCCAAGACTTTCAGGTAAGTTAAAACTTTTTGGGTAATTTTTTTTGTTGTATTGATGTTTGGTTGCTGAGAAAATCTGAGGGAAAAAAAGAGGGAAACTTTGAAAGATGTGAAAACATGGTTAAAGGGTGTTGGAACTGAAAACCCAACTCGTGAATAAGCTAATATTTGAAGTAGGAGCTGCAAGGTCGAGGCTTTCTATCCTTACCAGCTCAGAAATTGACCTCTGACGTTCTAGATATTCAAATTTGGTGGTATTAGTTGACTGGTTTTTCGGTATTTAGTCGGTTTTTTCATTGTTGTTTAATTTTTGTACTAGCAGGATCAGAAGCTTTTCTGAGGAGGATGCAGGAAATAATGAGGTTGAAATATCTAAAGACATTCTGGTTGGGGAAGATGGGATTTCTGATGAGCTGCTTGGAAATGTTATGAATGCTGCGGAAAGTTCATTTCTTGCTAAAATAGCAATTGCACTAGGCGTTGCCGCAACAGTGACTCTGATATCGGTTGGCATCAAGGGTGCACCCGCAATTGGGTCATCGAATGGAATTCAAATTTTTCCAGATAGTTCATCCTCTTCAGTAATGGCTGCAGCCAATGTCGGTTTCACTATCAAAGCTTTTGGGTACAGCATTGTTCTCCCAGCATTTGCACCGGGGTATATTCTTAACGTTTTTTTTCTTAAACATGCCTGATGGAAACTCTCTTTACTCTTTTTTGGTTACAGTTAATTGAAAGACATTGCTGTGTTATTTCTACACCCATTTAAAAGCAGCTGAGACAAATAGAATAGTACTTTGTTACTGCTGATTTTGCGTAGTACAAGTGGTGATTCGTGATCATTGTAGCAAAATAGAAAGAGATGATTTTAGATATTATAGCATAGGACTCCCTAGTGAAGTTTGCTTCACCTCACGGGGTAGTTCGTTTCTTTATTTATTTCTGAATCGTGCATGAGTCATGACTATACCGTGTTGCAGGTGGATCTACTTTTGGTTGCTTATGGCTGCAGGCTGTGGACTTTTCATTAGTGAAGAGGCTCTAAATATTTGGGTCTGTCCTCTTTTCTGGTATTCTATTTCACAAGCTTAAATATTTAACTTTGAATTTATCACTGTTTCTATCTCCATGGTTTCAAGCCGGTTTGAACTTGTGGGTAATCTTTTTGAAAACAATTTAGGTTGGCATATCTTTGGCTCAGATGCTGTCTTTGGATGGGACATGTCAGTCGTTCGCTGAATCTTTTTCGAGAAATGCTCCATATATCATATCCACAATTCTTTGGGTGTATTGGTAATGTAAAGACGGTTTTCAGTGCTGGTTATCCAGTTACAAAAGCGACCCCATAGGCTTTCGCTTTCGTGTCTCTCTGGCCGCACCATTTTAGTCTAGCATTCTCTGTCTATATGTCTTGTAATATTGACTATGGGAATATTACTTTGATGTTTTCATATTTCAGGGGAGTGTGCATCAGTGATCTAATACCATTTTATCTCGGGAAGCTTTTTAGAAAATCCAGGGCCTCCAATGATGTTCTCTCGAAGGTTAATCTTACTCCTACCTTCTTGCTTCAGAGTTCTTATATATCTGGAGTGCTTATTCCCATGATGCACATACCTATTTTCTGCAAGTGGTAAGCACCACTTTTGTGTTTTAATGAAGTTTAACCTGATGATGGATGCAGCTAGGGATTGGAAAAGAGAAAGCTTTAAGCATAACCTCTGCAGTGCAAAAATATGGCAACCTCATTGGTTTCGGTAAGCTCTAAAGCTTATTTGTTTTAGATCCGTGTGATTATGTTTCGAATGTGCAAGGTTATGAATGATTCAAGCTTTTAGTCGTGAGTTGACGAATTCCCATAGGCCAATATATGTACAAATTTTGAGGTAGTGTTGTGTAAGAAGATTATAGGAATCCTTTATGCTTGAATTATGGTATTAGATAGTGACGTTTCAGTGCATTTTGGCTTTCAGTTGAACGATTTTCGCTTGGAGTGAGAAATCCAACGGCTTTTCTAGCAGGGACCTTGGTTAGTCTGATATACTTCATCGTACTTTTTGTTGTTATTTTGCTTTGATTGACTTGGGAATGACATGCTTTTACCTGAGTGCAGGGCATTTCTTCAGAGTGTTTCTTTGCTGGAGTTTGTTGTGGCGGTTTGATCACCCTGCCTCTCCAGGTCAGTTTAGTTCTGTTAAAAACACTTAAATCTATACTTAACTAGGTAGAACTAGAAGACACGTCTCAGGGACACACTCTAGCTAAAGTTGCACTTTGGTGGACTGGGGCAAGGAATTGGTAAATCTTTGATTAAAATCTTCGTGTTTTTTAAAGATCAAAGAAAAACTAGAAAACTTACATTCATATGCAGCCAGTTTGAGCACAATCCGTCACTCATTTCAATACTTGTCAAAAGGAGTGAAATTTTTTAGAAGTTTCAGATTTTCTTGGCTTTTGAGGAGTAATATTTTCGATGCTGGAAAAAACAAGTGTAGAAATTGATATCCAACCTTCGTTCGAGGACTAGCCTAACTTATTCTCTTTTGCTTTCTGATCACAGTTGTTAATAGGATTCTTCCTAAGGGAGCACCCCGTCTTTGCCCTCACTACTGTTGCAACAACAATTGTATGCAAGAACACTAAATCTATGAATGAAATTATCAATTTTTTTGTAATTTCATGAATCTAACTTGAAAACTTTCCAGGGCATTTGGACCATCTTCCCTTACGCCGTGGCTGCATCAACGGCATTATTCCTTTACTTGAGACGCCACTACTCTACCTAGTCAGAATAAATTCCTAGAAATAGAGGATAGAAGTTATAAAATATTCGTATATACAGAGAAATTACTGTGATTATTCTTGGAGTAATATTGAATACACCTTGTCTCAGAGAATTAGTGACTGAGGGTTGTGAGGAGCTTAACTTTGAGGCATTTATCGCTCCAAACCCTCCTCTCTCTTGAAGTTCTGAGGACATCCAGTGCCATAATTTAGAGGCTATTCCCATTTTAGACAACCTCACATCCCTCCGTGTGACTATTGAAGAATGTGATGGATTGGCAAGTCTGCCGAGTGGGCTCTCATCCTGCACATGTCTTGTCGAGTTAAGAATACTGTTCTGTGAGAAATTACAATCCTTGCCGACAGGTTTACACACTATTAACTCGTTTGAAGAAATTGTGTATTGGTTGGTTCTGGGAGGAGCTGGATTCTTACCCGGTTTCTGAAATTCCATCATGAAACGTCGTAGAATTCTACGGATGGCCTAAGTTCAAGTCTCTGCCTCCGCTAATTCGTCTCTCGACCAGTCCTGGTAACAGAGGTGGCTATATCTTATTGTGATGCCCGTTCTAGGGTCGAGTTATCTCTAAAGATTTGGAGATGCCCGAAAGGTAAACAAGTTCCTCACTGAAAATTATTAATATAAAAGATCCAATTCCTCAAAACGAGATTCCCGACAAGAAGTGATCACTAAGATGTGATCCCCAATAAAAACGGCAAGAAATTCATCGAGATGTAATCTTCAACAAAAAAATTTCACGATGTCATTCTAAAGATCTTTGAAATGTATAACATCTGAACTTTTTTAAAGTCACTTCATCTAATCATTGTATAGTGTCTTTGTAATATATTTGAATCGTCGCTTTGTTGTCCTTAAGTAGTTCATTATTAATATCTTTACAAAGTATTCTTTAACAATTGAATATGAAATTCCTTGAAACTTTGAAGGCCCTTCATCAAAACATGAGCGGATTTCGGTTATCCCTTTCTTTCCTCCCACTCTCCTCTGTTCTTTCTGATTTTCTTTTCTTCTGTATCTCTTTCTTTCCTCTCACTCTTCTCTATTCTTTCTTCTTTATCTCTTTCTTTCCTCCCACTCCTCTCCCTTCTCTCTTCTGTCTTCTTTGTTCTTATAATTTATCTCTATATTCCCTTCCTCCCGCTCGTCTCTGTCCCTTCATTTCCTTTCCTCTTTCTTTCACTCTCTTTCTACCTTTGGAATATAGCCAATTTCAAGGCTCCTTACTGAAATTTTGACCAACTTTTTTGAGCATGATATTAGTTCTTGTCTTTTGAACAAAACAAGAACCAGAACATTAAAAACAATCATAAATTAATTTTAATCTAAAATGATTGACGGTAGACAAACTCATAAATTACTTTTATCTATTTCAAATTTCAGGACCAAAGTGAAAAGTTATTTCAATCTCAAAAACTATTTTAGCTAAAATATCTAAATTAATTGACATTAAAATCATTATTCCGATTTCATTAAAACTTGAAGTTTGAATAAGGACAAATTTGCATAAAGTCAAAGAATGTTCAAATGGAAAAGAGAGTTCGTTGCTTGGCATGGGGAGGAGTTTTCGGGAAAATAGCCATGCATCACGATTCACGAACTGGACATTGGCTATCTGGCATTGCACAAATCATCTCTGTGCAGTAAGTGTCAAGGTCATTTACGTCTTTTTGACCTTATCTTGGTTGGATTTATAAGATTACAAAAGAGTTGGAAGGGAAATAAAAATTGGACATTTTCCAAATTTACTTTGTTCTTTGCTTTTTCATGCAAACTACTAACGAGTAACGGCCTTTGCTTTTCTCTTTCCTCTTTCCTCTTAACTTTACTTCAAAGAACGAATCAATTTTCCCAACATTTTCATTACCTTCCTTGTCCTCTCTCTGCAACTCCCACACTTCAATTCTCTCTCTCTCTCTCTCTCTCTCTCTCTCTCTCTCTCTCGCGCGCGCGCCACGAACTCAATCTATTTCTCCACAACCACGAGTCCAAGGCCTCTCGGTCAGGCCTCTCCCCGACCTTCCTCACGTTAAGCGTAATAATTCAGATCATAAACCCAGGTTAGTTCCAAATCACAAATTGTTGTTGAAGGCTCTTAGATTCTTAGTCTCGATTTCTTCATCTACTTTCCTTAACTAGCTGAGTATTAATCTGCTCTTTCTTTTGTGTACCAAAGGAAGGATATGCCAGAGATATTTAGTTTCAATGCTGAGGGAATACTTGCAAGGGCGGCTTCACTTGCCACTGAACCTCTCATCCGTTCTTGGGGACTTGAAGCAAAACTGACAGGCCTGCATCAAACATTATCCCTGATTCAAGATATCACGCGTGAAGCTGCTGAGCAACTACAAGATCCGGTTGAGGCAGTGGCGTTGTGGGCGCAGAAACTTACAGACGTAGCTAATGATGCCGATGATGTCGTGGACGAAATTGACTACGAAGTTCTCCACCATAAGCTGGAAATAAAAAACCATTTGAAGAGAAAGGTACTCAACTTCATTTCACTCTCTAATCCGGTTGCATTTCGTCTTAAAACAGCACATAGAATTAAGAAAATCAACGCATCGTTGGTGGATCTCAAGAATCAGGCGTCTATTATGGGACTAGTTTCCAAAAATATAGATGCAACTTCTCAAGCAATGAGATCGATCAGAGAAACCAATTCATCAATTGGCAATGAAATCATGGTTGGCAGAGATGAGGTCGTGTCAAATATACTTGCAACCTTGACCAGTTCCGAAGTCGATCAAGAAAATCTTTCCGTTATGGCCATTGTGGGAATGCCAGGTTTGGGAAAAACTACTTTGGCCAAGTTAGTTTATAATGAAGATGAGATAAATAAACACTTTGATAAGAAAATATGGATACATGTATCCAATACATTTGATGTCGATTTAATTTTGAGTCGAATCTTAAAATATGTTGACTGTGGAACGTTGATATACAAAGTCAGGAGGCAGTGCTTAAAAGCCTCCAAGAACAGTTGAAGGAGAAAAGATGTCTTTTTGTACCAGATGACATTTGGAATGAAGATTCTGAAAAATGGAGCAAACTGATGAGTTGTTTGTCAGAACTCCATTTTGCACGGGGAAGCACCATACTTGTCACTACATGCAGTTCCAAAGTTGCAACAATAACGGGAACACTTCCTCGCTGCGATTTGGGATTTCTATCGGAAGACGAATGCTGGTCCATATTGAAGGAAAGAGCATTTGTAGATAACACTGCTGCTCCTGCAGATCCTGATCTAGAGGAAGTTGGAATAGAGATTGCCAAAAAGTGTGCAGGTTTACCATCTGTGGCAAAGGTAAGGACTATTAATTTAGTATTATTTATTTGTAGTTGGAATCTTAATTGTCATCATTATAATTTCCGCACATTCTTTTGACCTTTTGCACCTTTTGTATCTTTTGTACGTCTCTACTTTATTTTGTTCTTTGATTCTATGATGGAACCAATTTTGTAAAAAGAAGAAAGAAAGGGGAAATGCCAAAAAAGAAAGAAAGGGCAAATGCTACAAGAATTAAGAAATTAAATAATAATATGCTTAATTCATGCCTTACAATTGAGGCTATTACCAAATATATATAGTGCTCTCCTTAGTGGGTCTAAGTGACCCATTAACCCTATTACAGATATTGACCCATCAATATTGTTAGGGTCCTAATAATCCCACCCCCTAAATAAAGGCATGTCTTCGTGCCCTAATACTAGATATGCTAAGTTAGACCCAATATGCTCTACCTTTGTCCAAGTAACACCCTCCCCAAGCAATCTGTCATGTAGACATGAAAAGGGTTGTCCCTGCTTGTTCACCCAGTTACAAACCATGGGATATTCAAATATTAGCATGGTAGCTGCAACCAAAACAAGTGCAAACTTGTTATCAGTTGCTGAATATTTCCCCAAATACAACCTTGGTGACAATGCAAAATTTCCAATTCCCCTAGCATCCCACAAGCACACTAGCCTCCAACTGAACTACTTTTTCCTTCATGATTATGATGCATTATGCATATAATGCTACTGAACAAAGACCCAAAAAGTTGTTCAATTCATCAATTGTATTGTAGTCCTTGATACAAACGGCATGTAGGTATCAACAAACTTTGTCTTGATCCAATAATAATCTTGCCTTCTCGAATTAAGTAGTGAGGCATCCGACGATTTGGCATTATCATCACAATACATCACAATACTGTATCACTTTTGTCAAACATATGATGATTCTAGAAATTACAAAGCTCACGTGATGCGCAAGTCATTAATTGCTAAGCTAACTGCGTCCTTCTTGCGGATGCGATGTGAAAACATGCGACCAAGCTCGGTTGGGTGAGTAGAATAGACGTGGTCATGTGGTGTCGAACTTACTATTAATTTATGCACCGAGCAACTACGATCGACGATGGAACACTCTCAGCCTAGGGTTCTAGAACCTAAAGACAAGGTTATGCCTTCGGCTATGAAGTTCAATTCTTCGCACCAGATTCAGTAGCTTCAACTATATTTGTGAAAATATAGGAGCATCGAATCAGTATTAGGTTGCATGAGCAAAGATACTTAATTGAATGAATGTCTTTACTGTGAATGTTGTTAGGCCGACTGAATGCTTAAGTCTGAAATCCACCTAGGAATAACCACTCATAGAACAACTCACTTTGCTAGGAAGTTGATGAAGTGACCTCATTTGGCAAAAGAATCGTAGAATCTTCGCCGGCTGAGATTTAGATAGATAGCAAACCAACTAGAAGCAGTATTGTTAATCCAAACTAAATATGCTTCTGATCACCTGATTCTACGGCTCCAGTGATGTTAATCTAAACTAGATATGTTGCCGATTCTCAACACATTGTTGTTAATCCAAATTGGAGGTGCATTGAAAAATGGTGAGGATAATTAATATTTTTTTAGGGTGTGAGAAGGTTTCGCATAGAGCATTTTGAGTTGTTTGTTGAGTTGAATAAGTTGTTTGCATTGCCAAACCACTTTTCTTTATAAAGGTAAGTTTTGTGATAGCCAAGATTGCCGAAGTAGAGACCCAATAGGACTGTGACTTCTCGGCCCATACTTAGATATTCCTAACCTTATCTCACCCAAGCCCCTTCTCTGCAAAGACTCTATCTCTACAAGGTCTCGGCCTCTTTGACTTGAATTAAGACTCTGAACCTAGCCTCTTTATGCACTTAATTCACTCTTATCTGATTAGGCATAGGTTTTGGTCTTGGAATAATTCGAGTCTTATCAAAACCTATTCAGACCCTTAACAATTTCAATTCAACCAGGACTCGACCTAGCCACGTATAAGTCTAATCCCTTAGCAATCCCACTTTCATTAGGACTTGGTCGTAGGGGTGGGTTCAAAAAACCGAAAACAAAAAAAAATGACAACCGAACCGGACCGAAAAAAATCGAACCGAATTAATTAAATTAATATTTTTTATTTAATTATCTGTTTTGGATATATATATATATATATATATATGTGTGTGTTGGAATGTGTACTGGGTTATTATTATATTATTAAAGTAATTAAAGTGTGCCTGACAAAAGTTGATCAATCAAGCACATGGGTGCTTGCTTTACAAAAACCGTGTGCTGAGTGCTGACAAAAGTTGTATAGCACATGGGTACTTGCTTTCTAAAGACAAATCTTTCCTTCTCTATTTTCTATCTTATCTCTCTCGTATTATCTTTCTCTATTTACAACCCAGAAGGCAGAAACCACCCAATTTCATCTCCTCTTTGTTTTGACTTCTTAGCCTCTCTCTCCCACCGTCGAATTCTTGCACCTCTATGCTGCTCTGCTTTCTTCATCTCTTCCTCCAAATCAAACTCTCTATCTCTCTCCTTCCCTCTTCTTGCACCTCCATGAACCCGTGGAGAATTCTTTTCCTTCACTTTAAAAGCTTGGTTGCAGACGGTTCCTTGAAAGCTCAAAGAAAAGCCGACATGCTGCTTTGATTACAAAACAGATGCTGCATCCAATCTCACCATCAGATATTATGTCTCTCTCTTTCATAGCTATGGCACGGCAATTGCTCGGCAATCGCAGCAAGTTCTGCACATCACTTCTTCATCGGCACAACATTCCTTCCAATTCTTTCCAAACCCTGGCTTTTTCAATCCCCACCGCACCATCTTCGCTTCCCAATATTTGATTACAAAAATCATGGAAAAAATCGAACCGAAAAAAATTGAACTGAGCAGAATCGAAATTTAGGTTTTGGCAAAAAACTGAATCGTTTTGAACCGAACCCAGCCTTACTTGGTTAAATCATCATTTTTTTGCTGAGAAAGCCATCTGGCCAGAAGGATCACTATTGGGCCGAGAGCCACGACCTTCCATTTTGACTTATCTTCTTAACCCAAACCCAATATGTCAAGCCCAAACATTGCCCTCCACTTATGAAACCTTTGGCCATAGACATATAGTTAGAGAGTTTTGAAGAAGCGAATATTCTTCAACCACCTTCATTGGCTTGTAATAAATGCCTCTACTCAGGTGTGCACGCCAATACTGCATCGACTGACCCAACCTAATTACTTGTACCACGCGTCGAGTTCTTACCATGACTCTCCAGATTAACCTTTCATGGGCCATACTTTTCTAGACAGCCTAACCGTCAGAACGTCCCATTTTGATTGGCTTGCTTTAAAAACCAAAGCGTCAATTCTCATATCAGGTTGGGTGGCGTGAAAATTGGCCCAAGTCACTTTAATTGCCAAAACTGCAATGAGTGAAAAGCACATCCGAGATTTTTCTATTTTGAAATTCAAAATTAATAACTCAATCCTTTCTTTATCTTCTGTATTGCCCATAAAAACCCTCAAAAATTTCTTCTTCTCATTCACAGTTTCAAAAACCCTCTAGAAACCCTGCAACTTCAATTTCCCAGAATTCTCAAGCTTCCTTTGTTTTCTTACCAACCACTTTAACTTCTCTAACTCGAAACCCCATCTTTTCAAATGGCCAACACTCACACTTCTAAGCTTCTGTGAACACCTCACTTGTGAACTTCAAAACATTAAAAGCCCCAATGACTGCCTCGTCATCAAGCTTTTCAAATATCCTGATGAGCCATAAACCAAGTCTTAGGTTCTTGGTCCTTTGATCAAGAACACTATCCCATACTCGGTCATCTCGCTGGTGAAGGTAAATCTACTCACATCATTCTTCAAAGTTGGGAGTCGCCAAACCCCTGATCGTTTGGCCCTCAGCCTCTACTGCTTGGGCTTCATAGGTCAGCTGAATAATGCCTCACTTTGGCGATGTGTGGCATCTGGGCATTTTCGACACCAGCAAGATCTTCATCGTAGATATGAACATGGGCCGAGAACTTTTAGTGGCAACCCTTAATTTCTGGTACCTAACCATTAACACGATGGTCTTCCTTTCAAGTCTATGAGCCATACTATACTAGACGTCATCATCATCCTCGGTACATTTGTAACTGGCCTCCCTGTTGACTTCATTTCGTCAACACGCAAGTACGACTTGGACTTGAGGGCCATCTTTGATGAGAAAGCCTAGGAGTCTTGAAGCTCAAAGACGACAAGAAAAATTAGCAGAAAGAAGACATCACCAAGTTTGCAGAAAACTTCCTCAACTACAACATGTTGAACACCAATTTTGTTGGCAAAGATGATGAACATGTCCAACAAGGAGAACATAAGGCCTTCATTTTCTACTGGTACTGTTCCAAGTCCAATAAGTGCCTCACAGAGAATATGTCAGTGGTCGAGGCATTGGCAAGTGGTCAGGTATTGGCCCTTAACCTCTAGCATCTCGAAACACTACATAGTTGTTGGTGGCATGCCTGTTGAAGTGGTGGCAATCAATAGACATTTCTTTTCAAATGTTCGACCTTAAGTATGACATGGCCTGGACAAAGCTTAATCAATAACATCGGCCTTGGTGATTCGAAGGTGCAAACTTTTGCAGTCTTGGCCGAAGCTGTTTGCGTTTTGACAACTTTCCTATTGGTTTGGGACAATGTCTTACACACTTAACACTTGCCGATGATAATTCCAGCAGCATTAATGTTGATATACTACAAAGAATTTTCTTTTGCAAGGTACTGCACTTGGTGCTTGCTTCTCAACAGTGACATCTGGACTGTCAAATTTCAATGAACAATTTTGTTAACAAAAGTTTGTTTCCTCATGAGATCGTTATACTTCCTTATGGTATTGATTTGCTATATCTTGTTTGAAACTGAGTTAGCAGAGCTCACGCTCCAAGGTAAATTCAAATGTCTGGTATGTATGGCGAGCCTACGTCAAATGAAAGTTTTAGGAAGTACATCATCTGAGGCCTCATCGTTGTCTTCCTCAACCATCCATTATGAAGGCCCAAAATCGGACGGCTTAGTACTCATCGCAATAATTGTCGCCGCTACCTTCTGGTTGTCAAGATTTATCTCCACTTCTAGGTGTGCTTCAAGGTCTGGCGTGACGGCAACGAGAAGATCATGTGCAATTTTTACGTCAGATGACACAATTGCCTGATTTGTAGATGTTGATTTGTCGATGCTTTCCTTATCATTGTTTTCTTCTTGACAAAGTGTATTTTAGTGGTCATGAACTTCATAGTTTTTAGCACTTGGTTGGTTTCACTAAGTGTGCCAAAATGTTGACCTTGAAAATTACAAAGCCTAAGTGACGCGCATGCCGAGTAACTACTAAGCTACTTATGTCTTTCTTGTGGATGTGGGCGTGCCAACTCACCACCGAGCACGGTCGGGTGAGTAAAATTGAAGTGGTAATGTAGTGTTAAACGCACTGCTAATTTCTGCACTAAGCAACTACGACTGAAGAAGCACTCTCGGCCTAAGGTTTTGGAACCTGAAGAAAAGGTTATGCCTTTGGCTACGAAGTTCAATTCTCTACACCAGATTTGGCGACTTTAACTATATTTGTGAAAATATAGGTGTGTCAAATCGATATCAGGCTGTAAGGCCAAAGACACTCAAATATGTTATTAGGTTGTCTAAACGTCAAACTCTCAAATGCACCTAGGAGCAACTAATCATATAACACTGCACTTCGCTAGGAAACTGATGAAGTGACCTTGTTCAGCGAAAGAATTATACACTCTTTAGTAGCTGAGACTTGGATAGATAACCAACTGACCAAAAATAGTGTTGTAATTCAAATTGAAGATGCTCCTTAATCGCCTGATTTTACGACTCCAGTGATGTTAATCTAAACTGAATATGTCACCGGTTGTTAACACAGTGTTGTTAATCCAAATTGAAGGCGTATTGACGAAAGGTTATGATAATTAGTGTTTTTCTCTAGGGTGTGGGAAGGTTTCCGTAGAGTGAGGCTTCGCATAGAGCAAGTTTCGCGTAAAGCATATTGAGTTGTTTGTTGAGTTGAAGGGCTCTTTATATTGCAAAATCATTGCTATTTATAGGGTTGGATTTTGTGATAGCCAAGTCTACCGAAGTAAAGTCCTAATAGGACTGTGACTCCTTGGTACATACTCAAGTATTCCTAACATCATCTCATCAAACTCCATTCTCTTCCGAGGCTTTATCTCTACTAGTTCTCAGCCTTTTTAACTTGAAATAGGACTCTGAAACTAGCCTCTTTGTGCACTTAATTCACTCTAATATGATCACCATAAGTCTTGGTTCCTGGAGTAATTCGAATCTTGTCAAAACCTACTCTAACCATTAACAATTACAATTCAACTAGGATTTAACCCATCCACGTATAAGTTTGATCCCTTACAATCCCACTTCCATTAGAACTTGGTTGAATCATTATTTTCTGGGTTGAGAAAGCCATCTGGCCTTAAGGATCACTATTTATCTCTTCTTAGTCTAAACCTAATATTTCAAGCCCAAACAGCGTAAGAGTTCCTTGACCATGAAACAATTATCTTCAAATAGAATGGCCAAAGTCTGGTATCATGAACACTTTCATGAATTTTGTTCTCATCTAACACTATAAAGGTTTCTTCAAGTCTTTCGGTCTCCCAAAGCGCATAGACGACTTTGGTACATATAATGTTGGCTAGCTCATATCCAGACTACAAGTGTCAAATAAGATATGACAATCTTGGATGATAGAGATGCCATCACTCGACAATACAATAGTAGAGTAGACTTTCCAAGCTCTCATTTCCTCACAGGAAAGTAAGACTGCCTCAAGTGTAGGATTAGACACTCATGTGGAGTTTGTGCTTTGTAAACCAATTCCATTTTCTTGTTTCCAAACCCTAGAGCAACATGAGCTTTGGACATCATGCTCTTGGATATTGAGTGGCTATATTGCCAATAGCTTTTACAAGCTTCACGTTCCTAAGGTCGAAAATTTTTTCGTCACTAGCATCTACACTTCAATCCCTATGAAAACCGAACCAGGCTCTGAATACCAAATGATGGAATCCATTTCGTTTCGTAGAAAAGAGAAAAAAAGGGAAAATGCAAAAAAAATTAAGAAATTAAGTAACAATATTCTTTATTCATGCCTTCGAAATGAGACTATTCAGAAATAAATATATAGTACTCTCCTTAGTGGGCCTTAGTGACTTGTTAACCTTGTTACTAATATTGGCCCATTAATACTGGGACCGGTGCAGAAGGTTATTAAAATACCATTGCTCTTTCTCCATACCCATGTACTTCTATTCTTGCGTGTTTTAACTTTTGACTTGATGACCAGACTTCTTGAAAAGTTTTATCTTTTGGTTTGTGCTTGATTTACTATTATCCCATCGATTAAAATGTTTACGCAGTCTAAGAATTATTTAATGGGAAATCTAACCATTATGAACCAACAGGTTTTCGGAGGAATGTTGCATTCTAAGAATGGTGCAGATCAATGGTCAGCGATTCTACAAAGTAAAATATGGGACTCTCCAGAAGCGAAAGAGATTATCATCTCGGAATTGAAGTTGAGTCTGGATAATTTGAAATTTCCATTTTTGAAACAATGCTTCGCTTATTGCTCAATGTCCAAGAAAGGTTCTGAAATTGAAAGGGATGACCTAATACAAATGTGGATGGCTCAAGGATTGCTTCACCCTTCTACCGAGAATAGTGATCTAGAGATGGAGGATATAGGCACCGAGTATTTTCATATTCTGTTGCAAAACTCCTTACTTCAAGATCTTACGAAGGATGAATTTGGTGTCGTAGCCAAATGCAAGATGCATGCTCTTGTGCATGATTTTGCAGAACTTGTATCAAAATCTGAGAGCGTGACTTCAAGTTCTAATAAGATGGTCGGCACATTGAAGATTCGACATGCTTCACACATTCCTACTTCGGTTTTGGAATCAATTCAAAAGAAAACTTTAAGGGGATTGCGCTCATTGTTTTCTAATAGTGAAGTTCCTAGGAACATGTTGCCAAGGCTTAGAGGTTTGCATGTCTTGAATCTTTACAACTCTAATATTAAGGAGCTACCGATTTCCATTGGGAAACTGAAGCAGTTGAGGTATTTAAACGTTTCTGGAACAGAGATCAAAGCAATCCCCAAATCTGTCGGCAAACTCCATAACTTACAGACATTAAGAATGGAGTATTGTAGACGTCTGAAAGTGTTCCCTAAGGAAATGGGAAATTTGATCAATTTGAGACACGTCTATTTTGGTCCAGTCCAAAAAAAAAAACGTGCTAATTTTGGTTGGTATACGGAGTCTCCTGTTGGGGTTGGGCAATTGACTAATCTCCGAACGATGCCTTATTTTATTGTGAGTCCTGATGAAACTGATCGTAGCATTGAAGAATTGGCTGGCTTAAACCACTTGAAAGGTGAACTGGCCATTTATGGTTTGGAACATGTGAGGGATGGAGAAGAAGCGAAGAAATCGAATTTAGTTGGGAAGAGAAACATACGTAAGTTATCACTTGTATGGGGTGAGGAAATGAGGCCATGCAACAACAGTGAAGAGGATGTTCTCCAAGGCCTCCAGCCACACCATAATTTGGAAATTTTAGAGATTCGCAACTTCATGGGTGCTCAATTTCCATCGTGGAAGCCACACAACAACTTGAAAGAGATTCGATTGCTTCAGTGCGACGTATGTGAAGAAGCCCCCATGCTTGGCCATCTACCTGGTCTTATGCATCTTGAGTTTAATACAATGTGTAATCTAAAACGTTTGGGAGATGAGTTTTATGGCTATGATGACGTTGATGATGCAATGAAGACCAAGGCTTTGTTTCCTGCATTGAAGACCTTCAGAATTAGTGCGGCCCCAAAATTGACCGAATGGATTGAACCACCAGTGGTGAAAGAAAAACAAATATCGGTGTTTCCTCGCCTTGAGGAGTTGGATCTCGTGGAGTGTCCACAACTGAGAAATTTTCCTGATCATTTTGCATCCCTCCATAAGTTGGAGATGAGTATTTGTCACGAGCTATCAAACCTAACAAGTCGGGTAGAAAAGTGTACCTCTCTTAAGAATCTGGAAATAAGCAATTGCGACAAATTTATGTCTCTTTCATTATCTGGTTTGACATCTATCCAGAAATTATTGCTTAGTTCACGTGGTGGTAAATTAACATCAACGAGCCTGCATAGTGGACCAGAATTGTACGGCCGAGTTTCTCTTAAGGAGTTGTCCATAAAATGTCCATCTCTTGAAAGTTTGGAAATAAGCTGCTGCAATAGTCTGATGTCCATTTCAATTCACGGTGCAACATCCCTTCGAGGATTGAAGATTAGTTCATGTGGTGGATTAAGATCAATGGACCTACGAAGTCTACCAGAATGCTATACCCCTCTACAGGTGTTGTCTTTAAGGTCGTGCAAAAGTATGGAGTCAATTTCAAGTTTACACGGATGCACATCTCTCCGTGAATTGACCATTGAAGATTGTGATGGATTAAAAACTTATGTACCAAGTGGGCTTGAATCTTGTACTTCTCTTCGTACGCTGACTGTCCATGATTGTCAACACTTGAGGCAGTATTCAGCTTTTGGGCTAGACGTGTCTCTCATTGAGGAGCTGACCATTTATAAAAGCCCTAAGCTAATATGTGTTTCAAGTCACGGTCTAATGAGACTCCGCAAACTGGTACTTGTTGCAAGTTGTGTACAAGAATTGTCTATCGTCGGCAGTACTACAGTAGAGGAGTTGTCTTTACAGGATTGTACATCCCTTGGTTCACTGTGTATCGACAATTGTGAAAGGCTGAGGCATGTTGCGATCGAGGGTTATGAGAAGCTTTCAAGCTTGCTGGGTGGGTTGAAACATTGGAACGCACTTGAGAGATTGAAAATAACTGGTAGCCGAAACTTAGAATGCATTCCAATTTCAGATGTATTCCCGCCATCCCTTAGGCAATTTGTAATTGAAGATTGTGCTCAACTATCAAGCCTGCCAGGCCGTCATGAATCTCTTGAGGAGTTAAGTATAGTGAATTGCCCTGAACTATGTTGGAGTTCAGTTGCCAATGAGGGGCGGAGTTTGACCGCCCTCCGGAAATTGGTTATTGCAAGTTGCAGCGAAACAGAATTGAACATTGACTCTATCAGTACGCTTGAGGAGATTTCTTTACACGATTGCACAACCCTTGGCGAACTGAGAATACGGGATTGTCAGAATTTGAGGCATTTAGTGCGTGATGGGTGGGGGATCCCCCCTCTCTCTCTTGAACTTCTGAGTATAAAGCGGTGCTCTAATTTAGAGGCTCTTCCCAGTTTAGACAACCTCACATCCCTTGGCAAACTGAGTATTAAAGGATGTGATGGATTGACAGGTCTGCCGAGTGGGCTCTCATCCTGCACGTCTCTTGACAAATTGGATATTGGATGGTGCAGAAATTTGATATCTCTGGCAGATGTCGATGTAACTAGCTTGCAATCTCTTTCCAGGTTAATAATACTTCGTTGTGAGAAATTACAATACTTGCCGACGGGTCTACGGACTCTGAGTCGTTTGAAGACGTTGTGGATCGGTGGGTTCTGGGAGGAGCTCGATTCTTTCCCGGTTTCCCAAATTCCACCATCAGACGATTTAGCAATCATGGGGTGGCCTAAGCTCAAGTCTCTGCCTCAAGTAATTAATCACTCGACTAGTCCTGTAACACGGTTAACTATATATGGTTGGGATGGGCTGGAGACTCTTCCAGAGTGGTTGGGTGACCTTACATCTCTTACCAATCTGAGCATTCATAATTGCAAGAATCTCTGGTCTCTGCCTTCCGCCCAAGCTATGCAACGCCTCACCCAAGTACGGTATATATGGATTTATGTATGTCCCATTCTGAAGGAAACATGCGACAAGGGCATCGGCACAGAGTGGTCCAACAAATCTCATTTTCCAATTATCCAGAGTAATTCCTTCTCTCTCAAAACAAATAATTCATTTGTTCAATTCTCATTCCCTCACGTTTCTTCTTCAGTATTGAGTATTGACCAAACCTCTTTTTTTTTTCTTTTTTTAATTAAGGTTATGACACGCCCGAGACATTCTAAACGTCAAAAGGTAATTTCCTGTCAAACCAAATTATTCATCAAGTTTTATACCTTAAATATTTACTTCCACACCTTTTACCATCATTTCAACAAGTTGCCGGTTGTTTTCTATATTTCTTGCTAACTTCTTTGTGTTACATTTGATCAGCCACCGTCCAGATTCAACACCAATCCAACTTTTCACTTCCAAAACTTCGGAACATGAGGAGGTCTGCGTTTTTCAGCACCGAGACGGAAAGGAGGGCATTGTTCGAATTCCCTCCATTGATATTTGTTATCCTGCGGTTTACTGTAGGATGTCGAGTCCTCTATTTGTACTATGGAAAGTTCATCCAAGAATGTACGTTCTAGAGTCTAGTTATCCTCCAAATATTTCGCGAGATTAGAGAGGGCAATCCCATTTTTCAGAGTTTGTCACATGTGTAAACACTGCACGAGTCTCTATTAGCTCTACTAAGACCATCTTCAACATTCCGATGACGTACCCAAAAATCATACCCGAATTTAAATTCGGTTCAAAAATAGGTTTATAGTTCTCCGATAGGCTAGAAAACGTCAAGCTAAAATGTCAGGCAAACACCCAAAACTCTAGTCATGTTAACACAATGTGCACACAATGGAAGCCGCCATGGCTTTTGGTGGCAGTAAGTGGCGCCAACAAAGAAACCAAGACTGAGACCCATAAATTTTTACGGAAAAAGGCAATATCATAAAACAAATTAGAACCATACGATTCAAGTCATTCAACACAGGTAAACAAGTTCCTCATTTAAACTTATCAGCGCAAAAGATCTGATTGCTCAAAACGAGATGCTCGACAAGAAGTTCACTAAGATGTAATCCCGAATAAAAGCCAAAAGAAACTCGCCGAGATGTAATCCTCAACAAAAGAATGTATGACTGGCAGGGTAAAAAAGATGACGACACCACTTCATAGCCCTGAACTTTTAATATGTCACCGAATAAAGGAGTTGAAGCTGGGAACCAAGCTTCTCCTCTGCAGATTTTTCAGTCTTCAACCTCAGTTTGGTTAGCTGCTTCTTCCTCTCGTATGCCAACTGAGCCATCTCCTTTCTCTTGTTCTCTAGCTCCTGTGAACACGAAATAAAAAGATGTTCAGTACTTGGCATGTAACTTTACCAACACATGTAACATTGCATTCATACAAATCCGAGAACATCATGCCATGGATGCAAAAACACGTATATGCAAACCTATTGCCAAGCTTAAAGGCAGTTTCCAAATTCGAGCACATCTCAAGAAATTTTAAAAACATATAAAGCCATGTATGATCATGAAAATCATATTCATGGATGAATAAATACATAAACATCATAAAACCAACAAGTGAAACGATGCAAATGATGAAGATAACTCCGTAAGGTAACAAATGTATCGACTCTGCTGTGGCTAACAACAACCTACATTCAATTTACATCCAAACTACATTCAAATTACAAGAAAATACAATCTACATTCAAGTTACTTACAACAAATGAAAGGCAATGTTAACAAATTTCGACATCATTAAACAAGAATTGCAAAAAGCATAAATCTTTTGAGTTGAATTTCATCTTACTTTGATGGTTAGATACGCAAGTGAGTGTTAGATGATAGGTTACCAAGCATTTCCTTAACAATATGATGTATTTTTTAGTGTAGCGTGAAGTTGAGATGCATCACGGTTTAAGGATAAATTTTAGTGTGTGACTAAAGGATTTTAAGTATGTGCGGCCACTCACAAAATAGTCGTTATATTTTCTTAGCATCCAAGGTACCTTGTGATCCCATTGATGTGATAGTTTCTACATACAAACAACTACATAGAAGAATTTTTCTAGAGTAAAGATCATGAATTGGAAAATACAAAAAGATATGTGTTAGAAATCTTTGAAATAAACAAAACAAGTTAGTGAGAATCATGGAATGCACCATCTCAAGTTATGATCATATCCACAAGAGTTTGATATGACCGTTATACAAATTGTAGAGTCGACTCACTGGTTAAAACTCTACCTTCGCAACCAAATATTAAGTATTGATGTGTACACAAAATATTTACTACTCTAGCTACAAGCCTGCACAACCTTTTGATGTTCCTCAGGTTGATAGAAATACAAGAGGGAGGGAAATAAAAAGCTAACCAACAAGCTTTACGATGGGGAATATGAACATTTTCCACATTTTCAGAATGGCAAAAAAAAAAAAAAAAAGTTACGAAAATTTCCACAAAGCAATTATGCCAAAAATTAAAAAACCACCAAACACATTGGGAGTTGTGGTTGGTGGACGAAGAGGGCGACCACCCTTTTACTTGCCCAACCCACCTTTCGCTTGTTTACTCTTTCAAATCAAACTCTGTGAAATCTTCAAAATCTCTGCATTTCCAAGTCTTAGAGGTGAACAAGCAGACCGGCCCCTGACTCTCCGACGACGACGACAATGGCTGGAGACAAAAAGGTTTATACTTTGGCTGAGGTCTCCACTCACAGTGATCGCAAGGACTGCTGGCTCCTCATCGATGAAAAGGTAATGTTCTTGCTTCTTTTGAGCTGCACTTTTCAGTTAAATTTTGGGATTTGTGTGT